ATCGTGGGATGAGGAATTTAATAAGGAAATAAATGAAGAGCGATAAAACATCGCAAATTTAACTAAATGCATTAAAAATTTGGAAAATATAGATATCCATGAAGTATGCTTTTTTTTGTTTTTTTTTTTGCATCTTTTTTTCTTTTTCTTTTGTTTGTGGTAAATCTTTGAGCTCTTCCTGAAACATGTGGGCGCGTATGAATAATGTTCTTATTTACTTTGACACAAGAGAAATATTAATATATCTATAGGAATAAGACAGTTTTAGGGCTATGTATGTATATTGGTTTTACCGCTTTTATTTTTGGAATTTATTATTTGTTCCTTCTGCTGTTTTATCATTATTATTACTTGATGTTAATATTTTTTTTCTTGGCGATGTTTTTTAAATTGTAATTTGTTCACTTACTTGCTTCTTTTTACTTTTTTTACTTTTTTTTGTGATTCACTGATAATAATTATTGTTTTGGTATTTTTGATATTTAATTGAGGAAAAGCACAATGCGTGGAGGATTTGGTCGTGGAGGAGGTGGACGTGGCGGATCCAGGGGTGGCGGAAGGGGTGGTGGTGCTCCTGGACGGGGCCGTGGATTTGCGTCAAGAGGCGCTGGACGTGGAGGACGTGGAGGAGGACGGGGAGGCCGCGGTGGAGGTGCCGGTGCCAAGGTTGTCGTGGAACCTCACATGCTTCATCCTGGTGTATTTATTTCCAAGGGGAAAGCAGATTCGCTTTGCACCTTAAACATGGTTCCTGGAGTCTCGGTTTACGGAGAAAAAAGAGTTGAACTAGGGGCTACACAAAGTGGTGATGAAAAGAAAGAATATCGACTTTGGAATCCGTATCGTTCAAAGCTTGCGGCCGCCATTTATGCAGGTGTTGGGAGTATTCATATGAAACCAGGGTCAAAGGTTCTTTATTTGGGAGGGGCAAGTGGTACAACTGTAAGCCATGTAAGTGACTTGGTTGGACCTGAAGGAATGGTTTACGCGGTAGAGTTTTCGAATCGCAGTGGTCGTGACCTTGTGGATATGTCGAAACGACGACCTAACATTGTTCCCATTATTGAGGATGCTCGTTATCCCATGAAATACCGAATGCTTGTACCCATGGTGGATTGCATCTTTATGGATGTTGCCCAACCGGATCAGGCACGTATTCTTGCCCTTAATGCCCAGGCATTTTTGAAGAATGGAGGACACTATGTAATTTCAATTAAGGCGAACTGTATTGACTCAACGCTGGAGGCCCCGGTTGTTATTGCATCTGAGTTGAATAAGCTTAAAAAGGACCGTTTAAAGCCATTAGAACAGGCTTCACTGGAGCCATTTGAGAGAGATCACGCTGTTGTGGTCGGAGTATATAGATCCGTTAAGAAGTCGACTGCATAATAACTGTTTTAAGCTTGAAAAACAAAACCAACAACAAAAAAAAAGAAGAAAAATAAAATGGAGAAAATGAAGGGGGAAAAGGAGAATATATGAAAATACTTGAAAGAAAATACCAAATGAGTCGGAACGATTCACGTGCTTAAAAGAAGAGCGTCCTTTTAATGTGATGACCTTGAACCCTTACATATAAAAAATAATCCGCAGTTTAAACGATTTTTTTTTCCTTTCTTCCTGTTTGCTTCTGCTTTACTGAGCGTATTTTTTTCTTCCTCTTTCTACACAATGATACGTCAACGCACAAATAAAAGGAATTTGCGGCGTCTTTTTTTTTTTCTCTCTTGGGTCTTGTTCTTTAGGGGCGGAAGGGTCTCAGAAAATGGCTGTAGCCTCTCTGCCACAAACTACAGATTTACTCGTGGATGAGCGATGGGATATAATAAAGGATGCAGTTATTGCTATTCTCAACAAGACGATCTCTCCATATTCTTTTCAGCAGGTCCATCACTCCGTGTTTCAAATGTGTCAGCAGCAACTTAGCGGACTACTTTTTGAACAACTTGAGGTAATATTTTCATCGCATGTAAGTTCCATATGTGAGCGATTGCGCAGCGTCGCAGATGTAAGATTTGTGCAATGTTTAAAAACAGAATGGGGGGAATTTAGTTTGGCAGTAAATTATATTGGTAAGGCCTTGTTGTATCTGAACAACAATTATACGTGTCACAGACAAACAATTCCAGCCATGGGGGAAAACCTTTTTTGTAACGTCGTGCTACAAGATAATCAGGTATCTGCGGTATTTTCTACTTGCATCAAGCGTGGCCTATACGCTGATGAAGTTACTAGACAAACCATAAAAGAATTGGGCCTAAAGTTTCTCCAATTGCACGGACCTTCCCTTTACGAAGACCAACTAGAGAAGCCTCTCATAACTCACTTAGATGAGCATCACCTAGAGGCAATGGTACTAAAACAAAGGGAGTTGAGCACCACTTGTTATCTTGGGTGGGCACTTTGGGCCATTGAGGAGGCAAGAGCAAAGGTCTCTAGTCTCCTTGGGGAAAACACAGGCCAACGTGCTGAAAAGAGGCTGGGAGTATTATTAATCAAGAACATCACGGAAAAACTTCTTTATAATGAACCTGGAAGTGGCGCTTCGATGGTGCGAGGCATGGATGTTTCATCATTGCATCTCTTGGCGCAGGCTCTCGCAAAAGTAGATGAATCACAAAGATGTCTAGAAATGATTGCTAACACCACAATAAACATGGGGGCTGAATTGCTAAAAGGTATGAGTCAAGCTGATCCGGTACTGACTGTGGAGGAACTCTTGGCTTTACGAGGCAAGCTGGAAAAGCTGGTCTTAAACTTACCTGGTATTTCCAAAACCACACAATCCCCGATATCTCGAGCGCTTGCGGAAATTGTCAACAATAACACCCTATTTGGTGAGAAACTAGCTTTTTATTGCGATGCCAAGGTCAAAGCTAAAATCACTGAGGCTGAACTGGAGCGCGTTGCTGCAGACGTCTTTGGTTTATTTCGTCTTTTAAAGTCAAAAGATGTGTTTGAACACGCGTTCAAACAAATGCTTGCAGCCAGGTTGATTAGCTCAAAACCGGAGGATCCTTTGACACACGAAATCTTTTTAATTGACCAGCTTCGCAACGAATGTGGCGACTCCGTTGTGAATCAGTTTCAAATTATGCTTAAAGACACGCAGATGCGAGTTGGTATCAACAATGGATTTTATCGCCATCTTGGAATCGAGGCGGAATTACCATGCAAATTTCGTGCCACCGTCATAACTACTGGCGTTTGGCCAGAGTACACAGACCCGGAAATTGAGCTTCCAGAGAGCATGCAACACTGCATGCTGCTATTCCGCTCCTACTATCTTCCACGTCATAATGGTAGGAAACTTTCCTTTCACACAGCCTTAGGGACGGTTGTGTTTAATTTGAATCATGCGGGGAGGACGTATGAGCTTGTGGCACCAACGGCCTTTGTAAATACATTTTTTTGCTTTCAAGACGGGAATCCAAACGAGGAATGCTTGTCACTGCAACAAGTATCTCACAGGGCGAAACTGCCCGAAGGAAATGTCTTACATCAATTGGAATCTTTGGTGCAATTAGGTTTGATAGCTGTGTCCCGTGTCAATGACGTTGCACAGTATGCCTTTAATCGTGACTTCAGTCACCCCAAAGGTAGACTGCGTGTGCGCACGGCAAGTGGAAGCAGGGCGCTGGAGGGTGGCATCGAGCCACGAACACCGCGTGACGCGGATAATTCGCACGCAATCAGTATTCAGGCGGCGATCGTGCAAGCAATCAAGAGTAAAAAAACAATGGAACACCTCGAATTGTGTGAGTGTGTGACTGAATCGATGCAAAAAGTTGGCTTTTCACCATCAATGACTGAAATAAAACAAGCCTTGGAGGTTCTCCTGAGGAAGGGATTACTCTCGCGCGGAAGCCGCCCGGAGGTCTACATTTACGAAGTTTAGGTTTGATCTACTCTAGCGAGCACGGGACCAGTCATACGACGTCATTCAGTTTTTTTTTCTTGGTTTTCTTATTATTTTTCTTTGCTCTTTCCCTACGCCTTTTTTGACGGCCTTCGTATCAGCATCCCTTTCCCTCCTCCCCCCTTCCATTCCCTCTATTGTTATTGCTTTTTCTTTTTCAATTCTTTAACGCCATTTCGTCGTTCCTTGTTGTTGTTGTTGTTTTTTTTTTTGTCTTTTCTTTGTTGTTGGGCAAACTTTATTTCTACATATTTTTTTTTGGTTTCTCTCTCTTCCTTTTGGTGTTCTTTTGGTTTTATTATTTTTATTGTTTTCTTCGCATCCTCTTTGCTCGTCTCGCACCCCGGTAGTACCCAACGCGCATGGCCCGCAAACCAGTACTTGAGGTCCTTTGGCAATCAACGACAACTTCAAATGTATGGCTTGTTTTTGCGATGACGGTGGGCGCCGTTTCGCTTTACGTTTTTTTGATGAAAAAGCCGCCTGGGGGCGGTAGATGCGGGTCACCAGCCGTTCCCAGTGTGAAGGATGACAAGTCGTCGCTTCTGAAACGAATGCAGCAGCGGCAGTTTAAAGGGCATCGCCTGTGCGTGGCTTGGGAGGTGCTCACGGACCACGGGCAGTGGCGCGAACACGCCAGGGAGACCCTCATGGCACTTGCACTTGACATGGAAGTCTACGTGATGTGCCGCATCAAATGCAAAGAGGATAAAAAAGCAATCCTCGCCATGTTGTGGGAGATGCCAGGTCTCATGCGACACCGAATCCTCTTCTGTGAGACAGCAAAGGGCTATGAGTCGTTTTGCCGACAGATCAAACCTGCCGTAGTCGTGACGCACAATGAGGAGCAGGCGTCATTCCTGAGCGCGGTGCTTCCAAACGTTGTACTTGTGGGTGCGAAAGTGCCGGAGACGGCCGTCACGTGCATTTCATCGATTCACGAGCTCTTGCAGGAGTGCGCCGCATGACACTCTCTCCCGTTTTACTGTGCACACGAGCTGGGAAGGGAGATGAGATGAGGGTCGGGGAGGGGATGCGACGAAAACAACTGACAACAAGAGAAATATTAGGAAAACGGAAACGGAAACAAAAGAAAAAGGAAAAATTATACGAAAACAAGTTCTTCAGGTTTGTTTACACACGTACACACACTCTTTCTCTCTAATTCTTGTAATGCCAAGTGTATGCAGGCGTGTGCATCCTATGGCTTCTCGTTTCTTATTTTTTCTCTCGCTTTATCGCTCTTTGGTAGTGAGTTACGCGGACAGTTTTTTTTTTTTTTCGGGGAAAAAAAAGAAGACTAATGCCGGATGAGCGTATTCTTCTAATCACTGGAATTCCCTCGAAGCTGTGTCGCGGTGAGGAGCTCTACAAGGTCTTTGGGAGCTATGGCGCCATTCAGCAGCTGCGTCTGGGCGATGATGTCTCCACGAAGGGGTGTGCCATTGTCGTGTACGAGCTTTGCGAGGCGGCGGCCGCCGCCCTTGAGGCCTTGAATGACTTCAAGGTGGATAAAGACAGGTACCTTAGGGTGTCTGTGTACGACGAGGTACGGGACCGCAAAGCACTGGAACGACGCAAGCGGCGACGAGAGATGAAGGCCGAGTATAAGCGCAATATTGCAGATGAACTTGGCTGAGGCGGAGGAGACCGCGTAGACACGGCCTGAGCTCTCTTGGGCGACGTCTCCTACCCGAACGCCGTCGCGCATGTGCGGAAAGTTGGACTTTGTGCTGACTGCAATGGTGCCTGCAGAATTTGCCGGTGACGCGTGTCCCCTCTTTATTTTTATTTTTGTTGTGCTTGTGATCATCGTACTTTTTCCCGCTTCCTTTTTTTTTTTTTTTCGTTTTGCGTCATGCATTGCTTTTTTTTGCTGCTTCTTTCTCTTGCATGCATGCTTGTTTGCTTCTAGTGCAATGATTGGCGTTCTCCTGTTTCTGAACTCGCGGGGCGACATCGTTCTTTCCCGCGCGTTTCGTGACGGCTTCAGTGTACGCAGCCTAGCCGAGAGCTTTCGTAACCGGCTCCTCTCAACCGGCATGGTGGATCGTAGTCCCATCAACATTGTGGATGGCTTCTGCTTTGTGCATGTGCGGTTCAACGACCTGTACGTGGCCCTTGTGTCGGACAGCAACAACAACTGCTTTGCCTGTTTTCAGTACATGCTTCACCTGTTGGAGGTGTGCCACGCATACCTTGAGGACATCAGTGAGGAGACGCTGAAGGAAAAATTTGTTGTCCTGCAGGAGTTCATTGACGAGACGATGGACTTTGGATACCCGCAGACCACGGAGGCAGGGCTGCTGCAGACGTTCATAGGCGCCAAGGGGTTTGACATTGCACGGATGAAGCGACCGGCGGAGGCGGAGCGGGTGACGACGCGCCTGACGGGAAAAAAGCCGTGGCGGAACAGCGGCCTCTGGTACCGTGTGAATGAAATATTTCTGGACGTCGTGGAAAAATTATACGTGCTGGTCTCGCAAACCGGCCAGGTACTAGAGAGCAACGTCGCCGGACGCGTTGTGGTAAAAAGCTTTCTTTCAGGCATGCCGGAGTGCCGGCTTGTGCTGAAAGACGATGTTAGCCAGTACGATGCCTCCTATCATGCGTGTGTGTCGGTACACACGGATGGAACTCTCACGTTTGTGCCGCTGGACGGCATGTTTTTGCTGATGCAGTACCGCGCCGCCCTCACCGCGCCGCCTCCGCTGAAGGTGCTGCACACCCGCTTCACGGGGGTCTCGAAGACGCGCACAGAGGTTGAGTTTGGGCTTAAGTGCGAGATCGCGGCGGGGATGCGCTGCGACGAGGTGGAGGTGCGCATTCCATGCCCCGAAAACACGGCCGATGTGAAGGTGTGTGTCGCACGGGGGCACGCGCAGTTTGACGGTGTGCAGCACGCCGTTATCTGGACCTTGCCAAGCGTCTCGCAGAAGGACGAGGAAATGCTGCTTACTGCGGAGATCGTGCTGATCGCTCCCACGATCGCCACCTCCGAGAAGATATGGGCGCGGCCTCCCATCAAGATCAGCTTCACCACGCCCTCACACACACTCAGTGGATTTGAGGTGAAGGATCTGCGGGTAGAGGAGCCACTGCTTCGTTACACACCTTCCAAGTGGGTTCGTTACTCGACAACGGCAGGCCAGTATGAATGTCGACTGTAATTCTGAAGAAAAAAAATGTTACTTTGCACTGCAGTCTCTCCTTACTCTTCTCGCCCCGCGTATATATATATATATATATATATACATACCCACCCTTGCTATAGGCTGGTGCTAGTCATGGCGTGCGACTCCGTGAATTTGTCACTCACATTCTCTCTTACTGTCTTTTTACGTGTGTGTGGGTATGTGTGGACGTTCCCAACACTTTCAGTTGTCACATCAGCCGTCCTGTTGGACCCTACTGCCACTTTATTACCTGCTGTGCAACCGACCTTTGAGGATTAGTTGGTTTCTTTTCGTGACCTTCATTTTGACGTCGGTAGTTTTAGCGGGTGCGTGCGAGTGTGTGTGTGTCTGTGTTCGGAGGGGGGAACGCGCATGTCAGAGAAGAAAGAATACATCAACCCTGCGGGGCTGCGGCTGGACGGTCGTCGCCCGCACGAGTCTAGGCGCATGACGTTGGAGTTCGGCAAGTTTCTAGGATGCGATGGCTCCTGTACGGTGACGACGGGGCTGTCTACTGTGTGCGCCACCGTCTACGGCCCGCGCGAGGTCACTAATAGATTGGAGGGCAAATACAACGAGGTCATCATCACATGCGAGGTGGCGATTGCGGCCTTCGCCGGCGAAAAGAGGCGTGAGACGCAGCGAAGGTCCAGATTGTCGGAGGAAATCAGCGCTGCCGTGCTAGAGGTGGCTCGCTCTGTGGTGCTGCTGCCGCAGTACCCAAATTCGCAGATTCACATCTGTGTGGAAGTACTGCGACAGGACGGAAGCGACAAGGCTGCCTGCATCAATGCGGCCTGCCTGGCCCTCGTCGACGCGAGTGTGGCGATGCGGGACGTTGTGTATGCCCAGACGGTGGGCCTGATTAACGCCGTGGATGTGGTGGACCTCACCACAGACGAGATGCGTTCCCAGTGCCCGGTGATCTGCATCGCGGTGAAGGGGCACAATCCTGCCAGCATCGTCTGGATGGAGTCAAACTGTCGTGTCACTCCGGAGGCCATTTCCAGACTCGTCACGGTGGCACAAAAGGCCTCTCAGGCCGTTTTTGCGACAGCGCTTCGTGGGCCACTGGAGGACCATGCGGCAGCTATTCTTAAGCTGCAGGGTAATCTTGGTAACATCGATTAACGCACCCCTTCTCTCTTGGAAGCTTCCGTCATTCCCCCCCTTGCTATCCCTTTCTCTCTTCTGCTCTGTGTGTATTTGTGTGTTTTTCTGATCCGTCCAAGTATTAATTCATGCATTTATTTTACGTGGCGCCTCGTGTGTTTTTTCTCCTCTCCTTTTTTTTCCCTTATTGTTTGTGGGGCGTGTCCCCAGTAGGAAGCAGCCGTGGAAAGAGAGACGAATGTCGGGCAGTGATGAACCGCCTGCGAAGCGGCCACGGCGGGAGGCGGCCCCGGCCATGACGTTCCCATATGAGCTGGACACCTTCCAGAAGCAGAGCATTGACGCCCTAGAGGACGGTGACAGTGTGCTGGTCTCCGCCCACACCTCCGCCGGGAAGACGACGGTGGCCCTCTACGCCATTGCCAAGGCCCTGCGAGAAAAGAAGCGGGTCATCTACACCTCCCCTATTAAGGCGCTTAGCAACCAGAAATTTAGGGAGTTCTCGGAGAAGTTTGACTCTGTGGGTCTCATGACAGGCGACACCACCATCAAGGCTGACTCGGACTGCCTCGTCATGACGACGGAGATTCTGCGTAGCATGCTGTACAGAGGCACTGAGATGCTGCGGGAGGTGGGATGCGTCATCTTTGACGAGGTCCACTACATGCGGGATAAGTCGCGGGGTGTGGTGTGGGAGGAGACGATCACGCTGCTACCCGAGGGGTGCCAGTACGTCTTTCTCTCCGCCACCATCCCGAACGCGCGGGAGTTTGCGGACTGGGTGGAGAGCATTCACCCCGGCACGAAGGTGCACGTCATCCACACCGACTACCGTCCGGTCCCGCTGCAGCACTACTTGTACCCATGCGGGGCGGATGGGATTTTCCTCATCGTGGATGAGCAGGGCAAATTCCGCGACGATAACTTTAGGCGGGCTATTGCCTCCATGGGGGCGATGGACGCACCCACAGGCGGTGCAAATGGTGCGGACGCCGCAAGGTCGGCCGCGACGGCCCTCACACGTGGGAAGCAGAAGTCCTCCAGAAAAGGGACACAACCCATCATGGAGATTGTCAAACTAGCGATGGATCGCAACATGTATCCCATCATTGTCTTCTCCTTTTCCAAGGCGGAGTGTGAGCGCAGCGCCCTGGCGCTCTCCAAGTTGAACTTCAACAACATGGAGGAAGACGCGCTTGTTACGGAGGTTTTCAACAACGCGATGGAGTGTCTCGCGGAGGACGACAGGCAACTGCCGGCGGTTGAGCACCTGTTGCCGCTATTAAAGCGTGGCGTCGGCATTCACCACTCCGGCCTGCTGCCCATCCTGAAAGAGGTGGTTGAAATTCTCTTTCAGGCCGGGCTTGTGAAGGTGCTTTTTTCCACGGAGACCTTTTCCATGGGTCTAAACATGCCGGCCCGCACCGTCGTGTTCACCTCGGTCAAAAAGTTTGACGGCGAGAAAAACCGCTACCTGACGGGTGGGGAATACATTCAAATGTCTGGGCGCGCGGGGCGGCGTGGTCTGGACCGCGTCGGCGTCGTCATTGCAATGGTGGACGAGGCGGTCGAGCCCGACACACTGAAGCAGCTCACCGGCGGCGGGGCCGACGTACTCAACAGCAGCTTTCACCTGACGTACAACATGGTGCTGAACCTGCTGCGGGTGGAGGATGTCGACCCGGAGTTTATGATGCGGCACAGCTTTGCACAGTTTCAGCGGCTGCGCAACCGCCCCGCTCTGGAAAGGCGCGCCGCAGCCTTAACGGAGGAGATTGCGTCCATTCAGTTTGATCACGAGGAGGTATTTCGCCAGTACACTCTCTGCCAGGAGCTCCTCGCGGCTCGACGCAAGCAGCTGGGGGACATTCTCAGGCAACCGGCCTTTTTGAGGCGGTTCACCCACTCCGGCCGCCTTCTCCGCGTACGCCGTGCGGCGGATGGGAAGCTGTTCAACTGGGGCATCTGCCGTGCCTTTCACGCCAAGACGCCCAACGCCGACGCCAAGGACCCCTCCGCCTTCGCCGTGGATGTTGCTGTGATCTGCACAAAGGCCAACACGGCGCAACCCACCTCGCTGCTCCCGTGCCACGTGAAGGACTTCACTACGAGCACGGCGGACCTCTACACCCTGACCTTTGACTTTACCGACATTGAGGCTGTGGCCCGCTTCCGTGTTAATCTCCCGGCGGAGCCCGACACGGAGTCTGGCCGGGCGCAGATGGTGCAGACCCTCGCGAAGCTGTACCGGCGATACGAGGAAAATGTGCCGCTCCTCACGGGGGATGAGATGGGCGTGGATGATCCCCAGTTTGAGAAACTGCAGGTGCAGGTGGGGCGGCTGGAGGTGCAGCTGAAGGAGAACGAGCTTGTGCAGCGCCCCACCAAGGAGTTGGAGTCGGCCTTTGAGCGTTTCACGCAACGGGCCAAGCTGGAGACGGAGTTGGGTGAGGTTAGGGAGGAGCTGAATCAGGTATCCCGGGCCATTTTCTCAGAGGAGCTGCAGCAGATGATGCGTGTGTTGCGGCGGCTGGACTACATTGACAAGGACAATGTTATCCTGCGCAAGGCGCGTGTGGCGTGTGAGATTACCACCACCGACGAGAATGAGATTCTGCTTACGGAGCTGCTCTTCAAGGGTGTGCTGAACGCCATGGAGACGGAGATGATTGTTGCCCTGATGTCGTGCCTGGTGAACGTGCACCGCACCCCAGATGGGTTTTCTCTCCCCGAGGAGTTTCAGCAACCTCTGAAGGAGCTAAACGAGATTGTCAGCCGCATTGCCACGGTAAGCCTCGAGAGCGGCATTGTGCAAGAGGGCATGAGTGTGGAGAAGACGATGCCGTCGCTGATGGAGGTCACCTACATGTGGGCCAAGGGGGCCAAGTTTGTGGACCTCATGAGCAAAACAAATGCCTACGAGGGGGAAATTGTTCGCATGATGCGACGCCTAGAGGAGCAGTTGCGGCAAATGGCGGGGGCGGCGCGCTCTCCGGCCATTGGCAGCATGGAGCTGCACGATAAGTTTCTGCAGGGTATTCAGCTGATCAAGCGGGACATCGTCTTTGCCTCCTCGCTGTATCTGTAGGGCATTTCTCTTTCTTTGTTTTGCTCCCTCGCCGTGTTTCACTCTTCCTTTTCCTCTTTTTCTTCCTTCTTTTTCTTCTCACTCTCCGGCGAGCAGGGAGTGGCTCCTTTGAGGGGGACGAAGAAACAGAACAGAACAAAACACATCGAGGAGGAAGAGAGAGAGAAACCAGGAACAACAACAACAACAGCAAAAAAAAAAACTGACAAAAAAGAACAATAACAAAAAGAAAGTGAGGGAACGTGTAATGTTTTTTAAAAATATTTATAATCGAAGTACGACGATGCGCTGCCCCGCTGTATCTGGGCGTATGCACGCACTGTCACGTTTCTGCCTCTTTTCTCTTTATATATACGCATGCACGTGGGTGTATGCATGCCGGTTTCCCTTCTATTAGCTGATCTCCTGTGGAGCTGTGACAATAACGATGACGATGGCTGTGTGGGTGCTTCCTTTAAGTTTATTTCTCTTTTTTTTCTTTGTATTTGTTTCTTTCTGCTTCTTCAGTGCATTGATTCTCGACACCCCGCGTTCCGCACATTTGCTTGGTGCGTGTTTGCGTTGGCTTTGCTTGGGAAGTGCTTGCACGTTGATGCTGCGAGGGTGCACGTGGCGCCTCGGCGGGCGGGGTCACTCCTTTGTGGACGCCGTAAAGGTGTTGGTTTCCAGCGGTGCTGGCGGTGATGGGGCGAGTGTCATGGCGCACGAACACGGCAACGAGTTTGCGGGACCCGGGGGCGGCAACGGCGGCAACGGCGGCAATGTGATGTTGCGCTGTCGCAAAGGTGTCGTTGACCTCTCGCACATCCAAGAAATGGGGAGTCAAGTCAGTGCGTCGCCGGGCAGCGTCGGCTTTGCTCGCACCGCCCACGGCAAGAAGGGGAGAGATCTACTGCTGGACCTTCCCGTCGGCACGCAGGTGGTAGATCTGGACACGAACGAGGTGGTGCACGACGTCGACGAGGATGGGGTGGAGCTGCTGCTGCTTGAGGGCGGGCAAGGAGGGAAGGGGAACGCGGCGTTCGCGAACAAATGGCACCACTCCCCCATGGAGTCCACGCGCGGTCTGCCGGGAAACACAATGTTAGTGCAATTTGAACTAAAGACGATTGCTGATGTGGGGCTTATTGGGTACCCCAACGCCGGAAAATCCTCGTTGCTTGCGGCCATCAGCACAAGTAAGCCAATGATTGCGCCATACATGTTCACAACACTTCGCCCCTACGTTGGTGTCATTCACGATTTGTACGGAAACACCTGCAGAGTTGCGGATTTGCCAGGGCTTATTGAGGGGGCATATGAAAATCGGGGTTTGGGGCACCAGTTTTTGCGCCACGTTGAGCGGACACAGGCGTTGGCGTACGTGGTAGATATGTCAGGCTCCTACACACCGGCGGATGCAGAAGTGCCACCGGAGCCGTGGGATGTTGTCGATGCGCTGCGGCGGGAGCTGGAGTACTACATGCCCTGCCTAAGCAACCGGGCGCTGATGGTGTTTGCTAACAAGATGGATCTGCACACCGACGGCAGCGGGGTGCTGCTGACGGACAAACTTGAGGAGCTGCGAAAGCGAGTGGAGCTGCCGGTGTTTCCCATTTCCGCGGCGCTTGGCATCGCACTTGGGACGTGGCACACGGAGGCCGGCTTGACGCCCGCGCTGCAGCTCATGTGTGAGGAGGTGTTCCGGAAGAAGCGGCATGAGGAGGGAATCCGCCGCGCTCAGCGGAGCAGGGAGGCATTCACGCTGGATAAGAGCTTTCGCGCAAAGAACATGGGCGTGTTTGCTGCGGCAGAGGAGGACCGTGAACATGACGACAGGGAAGGCCTGTCGCTTGTGGATCAACAGCTTGATCCCTACGGTTTCAGCGGGTTGGGCGAGGACTCCGACGGCTACCGGAACGCCGCTTCCCGCGGTAAGCTGCACGACTACCGGGACTTAACGATGAAGGGGCGGTACTGGTCGCTGACGCGGCGCAAAGGCGAGAAGATGGGCAGCGAGAAGTGGCGGTGAGGAGGCAGTCTCAGGAGCCAATTTCCATCCCTCCGCCGCTGTGTGCGTGTTGCGTTTCTGTGGGACGATCTGCATACTCCACACGTGTTATGGGCCGAGGTCCCGCAGGAATTTTGCCTTGGAGGGGACCCGCCTCTCTCCCTCTCTTTTTTTTCCCCCCACCCCCACTTCTTCCGCTTCCTTTCACCCCCTCTTTTTTTTTTGCTTTGATTTTGTCTCATCTCTGTTTGCGCGCTTGCGCATGTGGACGTTGTGCTTTGCCTCCGTTGCACGCAAACACGCGCGTCGGACGGTGCAGAGACGGCGGCGACCAAAAAGACGGAAAAGGAAAAGAGGGGGGAGGGGGGGGTATCTGGAGGTTTGTGTGTGTGGTGCGTCCTGAAAGCAACAACAGAAGCCGCAATGGGAAAGCGTGAGCGGGAGGGAACGCTAAACAGGGCGCGCTGCCTGGATTTTGTGCGCCAGCTGTGGGACAAGGACGAACTGAAGATGTTTCACCACCCCGTCAGCGCCACGGAGTTGCCGGACTACCACGAGGTCATACAGTTCCCTGTTGACCTGTCAACCATCCGCCGCGGCGTGGAGGCCGGCACGTACGACAGCGACGCGGAGGTGCAGAACGCTGTGGCGCAGATGATCTCCAACGCACTGGAGTACAACGCAAAGGGCACAGAGTGGCACCGCCAGGCGCTGGCGTTTCGTGAAGTGTACTTGGAGCTCGCGAAGCAGTGCGGTCTGAAGGTGGACGAGGACGCGGTGTACATTCCGTCCGCGGCGTTCAAGGACGACGAGTCGACGCTGCGCAAGGCGGAGGAGGAGCACGCGGAGAACATTGGGGATTTGCTGAAGAAACTCGAGGAGGACAAGGCGGTGCCGCTGGAGGAGCTTCGCGCGAAGTACAGCGCAGGGCACCCGAACGAGCACGTGAATGAGAGCAGTGGCAGCAGCAGCGGCGGCAGCAGCGACAGCAGCAGCGACAGCGGCAGCGACAGCAGCAGCGGCAGCAGCGAGGAGGAGGAGGAGAGTGATGTCAGCAGCGACCATGACGATGACTCTTAACATTTCGGTGCTTCCGGTAAGGGTGACCAGATTTACTTTACTCTTGCGTCTTTGCGTGTGTGTATGTGTGTGTGGCGGTGGGGCAGGGGCTGTGTTCAGTGAGACGTGCATCACCACCACCACCACCTGTGCGGCGCCGCTGGCGTCTTTTATTTGCGTTCTCTACGCAGCCGTCGTCTTTTCTTTTTGCTTTTGCTCCGCGGCGCTAGAGGCTTTCAAACAAAACAAAATAACACACACACACACACAAATGAAGCAGGGCTCCGGTGTGAATAAAATGGCACGTGCACTTACGATGTACACCGTCGTGTTGGGGCTGTTTGAGTTGCCCACGATACTTATGCTCCTCTGCGGCGGCAACCTTGCCGAGGTAACGCCGTGGTTCGACAGCTCACCACCCTTTGAGCGGTACTCGTACGCCTGCATGTACATGGGTGTATTAGCCCTGCTTGCCACCTCCCGCTTTCTTGCGGCCTACCTCCCACGGCATCGACTCATTCAGGCGCACAACGCGCTGGTGCATGCCCTGGAGCTGGTCTTTTTTTTGTGGCTTTGGTCTGTGCGGCAGCGCCCTGCCCCCGTTGCCTGTTACGCTCTTGTGGCAGTTATGGCGGCGAACTGCGTCCTCTTTGGCGTGCAGGCGTTCAAGGTGCTTGCCCCTGCCGGCAACGTCAGCCTGCGTGAAAAGAAGGGCAACTAAACCTTTCTTCTCTCTCTCTCTCTATATATATATATATATATAGAACATATATATAACATATCTGCCCCTCCTACTCCTTTTTTTTTGTGTGTGTGCGTGTCGGTGTGTGGCTTTGTTGCTTACTTCGCAACATGATGTTGCGTGCCTACACGCATACACATACACACATTGTTTTTATTTCACAAAAGAAAAACGGTTCTGTGCCCACCTCCTTTTTCTAAGTGTCTGTGCGTGTCTCACGCCGCCACGGCTTAACGGACTCTTTTTTTTTTTGCCTCTTGTGTTTATCGTCATGCGAGAGACGCCGCACTGCTGCTGCACCTCTCTACTTCTCGCCTCTCCCCGTGTTTGCATGCGTGTGCGTGTCTTCGCAGTGTATTTAGGAGCCTGGGTGGGGTGGGGACCGGCATGTGTTTTATTCAGTGGTACTCCCTGGCGACGGCCCTGCTGCTGGACCTTGTTTGCCTGTTCCGGCTGGCGCTGCTGCGGCAGCCCCTGTCGGTGGCCACTATGATGTGGTTTGACCGCGTTTCCGACAGCTCGCAGGGGTCGGCGCTGCTCGCCGTCTTTCTGCTTTACCTGGCGCTGCCGAAGCTGCTTGTGGCCTACGAGCCGCTCAACCGCTGGATGCTGCTGCTCGCCGCCGTGGGTGAGACGCTGCGCCTGGCGGTGTTCACCGCGCTGTTTGCCAACTTTGATGGTGCGACGCAGCTGAACACCGTGTCGCTGACCCTCTTCTTTTACAACGCCTTCATCTACTGGTGGAACTGGGGCGCCGTGCATAAACTGTTTTCTCGCCAGTTATAGTAACTTTTTGTGTGTGCTGGGTTTGCATCGACGACGTCTTCTTCTTCCTCCCTTTCGCAGGGGGGAACCGCCTACCCTCGCCTTTTTTTTTGCCTTTTTGCCTGTCTTTCTCTCTCTTTTCCAGTGTTGGCACGCACACATGCAGTTGAGATGCGGAGGCCATTCCTTTTTTTTTCCTCTTTTCTTTTTTTCCTTTTTCTCCATGCGGAACGGCAGAGGTTAACTCCAGCAAGTTCAAGAGGAAAGAACACAAAAACAAACCAACCAACCACAACAATCCAACAATCCGTAATCGTAAAGTCATGTTTACCCGCTTTGGCCGTGTGACTATCCCGAAGAGCGTGAGCGTGCAGCGCCGCTTTTTCAACATTCATGAGTACCAGTCGAAGGCCATCCTGAAGGAGGGTGGCTGCAAAGCGGAGTTCGGTGTCGCGTGCTGCAACCTCGCCGAGGTGGAGGCCGCGCTGGGGAGGATCAAGACTGATAAAAAGGTCGTCAAGTCACAGATTCTCGCCGGTGGACGTGGCATGGGCACCTTTGTGGATGGCTACAAGGGTGGCGTGCACGTTTGCAAGGACGCCACCGAGGCTATGGACTGCGCCAAGCACATGCTGAACAACACGCTGGTGACGAAGCAGACGGGGCCCAAAGGGCAGAAGGTCTCCGTGCTCTACGTGACGGAGGCCATCACCGGCATCAAGCGTGAGCTCTACCTTGCCCTCCTGCTCGACCGCAAGTCCGCCTCGCCAATGTTTATTGGCAGCGCCGAGGGCGGCATGGGCATTGAGGAACTCGCGCAGAAGAGCCCCGAGAAGATCAAGCGGATGCGCATTAACGTACAGGAGGGCATCAACGACGAAAATTGCCTTGCCTTCGCCAAGGAGCTCGGCTTCGCCGGCCGCGCTGCCGAAAACGCCGCGGAGCAGCTGAAGGCGCTCTACAACGTTGGCAAGTCGAAGGACTGCACCCAGGTGGAGATCAACCCCCTTGTGGAGCTGGAGAACGGCGACGTCATGTGCATTGACGCGAAGCTCTCCTTCGACGACAACGCCGAGTTCCGCCAAAAGGACATTTTTGAACTCGCAGACAAGACGCAGATTGACGCAAAGGAGGTGCTCGCCAAGAAACACGAGCTCAACTACATTGCCCTCAACGGCAACGTTGGCTGCCTGGTGAACGGTGCCGGTCTCGCCATGGCGACGATGGACCTCATCTCTATGCACGGTGGCAAACCTGCCAACTTTCTCGACGTTGGCGGCAGTGCCTGCAAGGAGCAGATCGTAGCCGCCTTCGAGATCATCACGGGCGACCCGAGTGTCAAGAGTATCCTTGTGAACATCTTTGGTGGCATTATGCGCTGCGACGTCATCGCGGAGGGCATCGTGGCGGCCTCGCGCCAGATGAAGGGGCGCATGGTCCCCGTCGTCGTGCGTCTCAGCGGCAGCAAAGAGGAGGAGGGCAAGCGCATCCTCAAGGAGAGCGGCCTCGAGCTCCACCCTGCCCAGAACTTTGAGGAGGCTGCCCAGCTCGCCTGCAAGTTCGCGTCGGAGGCGGCGTAAGTGCGGCCGCAACTCAGCGCGACTGTTGATGTTACTACGGGAGAGAGAGAGAGAGAGAGAGGGAGGGGAAGGAAGGCGGCACCCACTCAACGCTGTCCCCCCCCCTCCTCCTCCTCCGCATTTTATTCTATCCCTCCCTCCCTCCCTTTCCTCTCTCCCCACCCAAAGACACGGCAGCCGGAGATAAAAGGCGAGAGAGTCACGCACATGCAGGGGGGTGGGTGGGTGGGTGGGTGGGTGGGGGAATACTCGCTGTAAATAAGTCGCCTTACCGCTGCGGCGTTGCATTGAGGCAACGTAAGAAGATAATTAAATGAATAACACAAAACCAAAGAATATAACGAACCAAAAAGGCATCAGTAAACATGTAAAAAGGATAAGAATGAGGGAACAGAGAGAGGAGGGGATGAGGGGAGGAGTGGAGGAGGGGAGAGGGATGTTCTTGAGAGGAAGCGTGAAGAAGCGCAACGTCATTCCTTTTTTTTTCCCACTACTACTAAGTCGCACGCAGTGTGTGTGGGGGGGGGGGGGCGGGGCGTGAGGAATAAAATAAATCGAAGTGCAATCAACGATCCTCCGCTCCCACGTGTCTTCTTCCCACTTTCCCTCCCTCCACACAACAACCGCAATGCAAAGAGAGCGGCGCCAAGCAAAATAAACTACATCAACAAAAAGGCACAAGTTGGGACCAAAAGTGACACGAAGGCTGAGAGAAGGAAGGTAAAGAAAGAGGGAGGGGAAAAGGGAGAGAATGTTTTGTTGACAAGGAGTGATCTCGCAGCCTAATACGTGGGGAACACCCAACATCAAAGAAAAAGAAAAGAAAAGAAAGAAAAAAAAAAGAAGAAGAATGCAGAAGCGCCGAAATTAAAATTTAAAAATGAAAATAATTTTTAAGGGAAAAGGCGAAGGATAAAGTGTGAGTCCTTTAAATGCCTCCAATCCGAAGGCATATATATATATATCTACTTTACAGGTGCTGCTTGCGTGCTTGGCGCCTCCCCGCGCAGACACATGTTCGTCTTTTTTTGTCTTAAGGCTCTTTTCTGCTCACCAACGCCGGCGTGCACACACGCACGGCTTCTCGCTGCGGAAAAGTCGTATGCGAGGCGTCAAACTTTGTGTTGTTGTTTTCTGCCTCCCCCTCTTCTTCTGCTGTTGTGCTTTACTTTTCGCCCTTTCCTCATTTTTTTTTCTTTTCATGCCCCTTTAATTTTTGGTGGCGCCGCCGCATTCCCATGCCGGGTGGTGAGTCATGAAACGCCGATCTCTCACGCCCACGGAGAAGCACACGGCGAACGGGGGCGGCCACTAACACACACACACACACATAGACCGATCAAGTGAGAGGCAAGAAAGACAAGGGACACGGTGAGGCTTCATGTCGGCGGATGAGTTGTGCCGCGCCCTGCGGGCGGATGTGGCGACCCTGCACTTGCTGGTTGTGGGGCAGCTGCGGGACTGCGACAGGGACGCGCGTCACGTGTTCGACGACATGGAGCGCCGTGTGACGAGCAGCACAAGCGTATTCTCCACTAGTGAGGCAGACAGCGTGCTGGAATGCATCTTATCAGCTGGCGAGGGCAGCTTGCTGCGCTTTGTGCACGATCGCTGCGAGAAGCTGCGGGTTGCCGGAGCGGACGCATGGGGCGCAGGCGTCCTGAAGAGGGCGATGACGTTTCTCAAATTTGTGGTGGCCTCCTTTTGCGAAAGCCTCGCCCCGCTGCAGCTGGCAGAGGTGCAGCGCACCGCGTGGCACACCTTCATGCTGCTGCACCACCTCAGCAAGCACACGGAGACACAGGCGGAGTGCTTGAGTGTCATGGTGGCTCTGTTGCAACACTGCGGCCACTGCACCGCCACCGTGCAGATGGATGTTGCCAAAGTGGTGGACGTGTGCGTGCCTATTGCCGAACGGAGGGCCAAGTCGGGGATGCGGCTGAAGAGCAATGCGCTGCGGCTCCTTGGCTGCGTGTGTGCGGTGTACACCGCGGCGATGTCGTCGCACGCTGCGCGTGTTCTCGACGCGATGGTGCATGTCGGTCAGCAGCTCGCCGCGACGGAGGTGGTTGAGCAGTTGGTTGGGGAGGGTCTTCTTCTCGCATTTGCCGACTACACGGGGGGATTTCCGCTTATGTTTAATGGACCTGATCGTGACACCTTGCGGCTTATGCACTGCCTTACTAGGAAGGCCATGGGGCTTGCAGAGGCCTGTCAAAACTACCGCTTTTGCAAGGCAGCTCTTGCGCTGCTGGGCAGGCGGGCGGGGATGCTGAAGGAATGCCTCATAGAAGATATGGAGAGTTGTTTTGCGGCGTTGAAGCGGCTATGGTGCCACAGAAACGTCGAGGTTCGACGGGCAACATATGATGCGACTGCAGGTTTTTTTCAGGCACTGGCGCTCCTGCGGAGCGATGAGGACCAGCGACATGACCCGGCTGCACGGCTGCGCTCAATGCTTCAGGACGTGGAGGCCACACTTCAGAACAACCACCAACGACGGAGAGATCTCTCGTTTGCCATCATGGCTATTGGGTACATGGCGAGGCCATTGACAGTCTGCTTTGGCCTGGACTACCTCGCCGTGACGTTTCGTGAAATGGTGAACAAGTGCGAGGTGCTGTTGACGCTGGCGAGTGGGCCTGTGGAGGATGTGGTGCAGTTGCTGCCGTACATTCTAACGGCGTTGGCCTCGATGCTGCTGGAGCTGCCGCCCATGGGACCAGAGCTACCGCAGCTCCTGAATGTCACTCTGTACACAACCCTTTTCCTCTATCCCCAGGATGCATGCTTTGAACATGTCCGATCCACGCTTGGACCCGCGTTGCTAAAGCTTCTCGCGGTGATCTCGCAGCGCCACAGAGTGGAATTCGGCGTTGGCCCCGTGGCGCGGCAGTTGCTTGCTCTGGCGTGTTCTCCCATGCTTTTCTGGGATCCTCAAACAGGACCTTCCGTGGAAGCGGAGAATGTTGCCGTGCAGCAGCGCTACATTCGACTCTGGGGTTCCCTGCAGTCGAACAGGGTCAGCGTGGTGGACTGGGGATTTCCATGGAGCCAGTCTCTCACCGACGCCACGCTGAACTTGCTGCGGCTGGCACTGCGTCGCGAGCTGGTGTTGGCTGAGCGGGAGATGTTGCAGCAGTTGGATCTTTTGCGCTTGCGCGGTGAGGCGCAGGCGGGGGATGGTTGCGACTTGAACGTTTACAGTCTCCTTGTGCGAGAGCGGGGGCACCCGCGGTCTTGCAACGAGGACTACCACATTGCGTTTCCCCGTTTTGTCGCGTTTTTTACGGGCTCCCTTGACGCGACCTTCAGCCACGTGTTTGGCGCGGAGGAGGTGACCATAAGTCTCATTGAGGGGCTTGTGTTGTTTACCACGCGCTGCGCCCACCTCGCCGATGGCTACAGCTGCCTTCACGCTTTGATGCGGGTGGGACGGCAAAAGGGTCTTTCATTGCGTCACGCGGATATCTTTCTGCGCCCGTTCAGTAGGGCATGCCTTCATCGCTTACCGGTCCTCACAGGGGAGGTGCAGCTTCAGTGTGCCCGGTACCTGCTCAGCGTGAGTCACCTGGGACTGCTGGAGACTGCACAGCTGCTGGACCCCATAGAGGTGGTGCTTCGCCGCGCTGGCGACCGCGTCGCCGTGGCAGACGCACTGGATGTGCTCGAGTGTTGTCTTGAGAAGGACTGCACGCTCGTGATGCCGCCATTTTGCCGCCTTTTGCGTCATTGCAGTAGGTTGAACCTGGCTTTTGGTCAGTTGCACGCTGTGCTGGCTCGCCACATGTCGCAACTGACGGACGACGTGCAGTGTGGCCTTAAGGTTTGCCTCGCGGTGGAGGGTTCCCGTGACACGTTTCTAGCGTTGCCGGACTCCCACTGGCACACGAGTGGCGCGCAACTTCCGCTGCCGCTGGCAGATACAACGCTGTGTGTGTCGTTGGACGTACTTCTTCCGCACGTCACGGTGCTTTCCTCTCAGGCGGAGGATCCTCAGGTACGCCGCGCGGCTTGTGATATTATCCACGCCGCAGTGGGTTGGTGCATTCACAATGGCATCGAGGAGTTGTACAGTGCGCTGTTCGACACCGTCGTTGCGCTGGCGGCAGCAACGGTGACTGACACAGTCGTCCGGGAGATGTTTGCCGCCCTGCTGCGTCACTGCACCCGGTGGTTTGCCCAGCGGGATGGTCGCGGAGCAAAGGAGATGGAGCGTGCCTTGTGTCGGGGTGCGACGGCAACGCATGATACGTCAGTGCGACGTCTCGCAACTGAGACACTGGTGGCGTACGTGCAGTGGAGCCTAAACTGCAGCTCGCAGCTGCAGCCTCTGCAGGGGAAAGATGCGGATGAAAGTCAAGTGGGCCGTGTGCTGCACTGGACGTGTGTGACACTTCGCGAAGCTTCTGTGTGGTGTCGTCTCGGTGCGGCTGATGTGCTGGGTCGCCTGTTGCGCGTGCTGCGCGATGAGAGAGGGGCGATGCAGTTTGTCATCCCCTTTGCTCGGGCGCTGCTGGACGCCTTTGCCTTTCTCCGCGTGAATGCAGAAGAGGAAGAGGAGGAGGATGAAACAGCAGCAGCTGCTGCAGAGGCGGGTGAGGAAGGGAAGACTGCGGTGACGCTGGCGGGGAAGCTATGCTGCTGTGTCAGGCTCCTTGAGCTACTTATTGCGGCAAACCACGAGCTGCCTCTGCGCGTATGGCGAGACTGGCTTCTCGCGGGGGACGGCGAAGCAGTCCTGCGGGATATTCTGCTGCATGCCTACCGTGAGGGTCGGAACACCACCAGCGCCGCCGCCCTGCTGCGGCTGTTTGCCGCCATGTCTCGCTGCATGCCGGGCGATGCGGCGGGGGACTATGAGCCTCGTCGGTGGTTGTTGACGCACCACTCGATTCTGTGCGAGTTTGGTCGACGGGAACCAAGTCCCGGGCGGCGTGTCGAGTGTGGCCTGCAGATGTATGCTCTGCTCGTGTCAAGCGCACTTTGGCCGCTGCCCTCGCTGAAGCGGATGCGGGACGGAGACGCCGCCTCGGATTTGGAGACGTCAAAGTATCTTTCTTGTGTGCTTGACGACTTGGGCTGCTACCTTGCAGAGCTACGCGGTGTCCGTAGTGACGCAGCTGATAATACTGTTCGTGACAATGACAACTGGTGCACCTCCGCCCGTGCCCTTTTCATCGCGCGGCATCTGGTGCTCGTGCTACGCGGAGACGCAGGCACCGTGACAGGTGCGCTGGCGTTGAATAAGTCGCTGCAGCAGTTTGCGGTGCATCTCCTGCTGGCTCCCGCATCGCTTGGCATCTTACCAGGCCTCTCTGACAGGGAGCAACGGCGCTGTGGACGGGACCTTGTTGCGGCGCTCGCTGCCTTGCTGCAGGCACACGAGGGCCACTGCCGCGCCTTGGTTGATCGCCTTCGCGGCGACGTTTTTGCTGTACTTCGGTTAACGACGCAGCCCACGTTGCTCAAGTTTTTCCTTTCCGACCCGCACGCGGCCGTGCACCAGCTGCGTTGCATCGTTGCCCTGGCGGAGGTGGGGCTGTGGGCGGAGGTGCTCGGGCCGCCGTCATCGTCGCATCTCGTTTTGCGGCGTCTTCTTGCCGATCTCGCGGAGGCTGCGCGTGATGAGTTTGTGATCAGCAGCCAACGTGGCATTCTACTCTGTCACACGCTGCTGTTGCTGCTGTTGCCGCTGATGCCACCGCCACCTGTCGACGACGCCGCGATGGGGCAGGATGGTGAGAGGCTCTCCGCCGGTGTAACGAATGGGATTGGGCTGTGTGCGGTCCTCGCGGCGCTCCAGCAGGGAGAGGGGGACGATGCTTGTGGCGCCGAGTCGGTGGGCTCCGGTTTTCTTGCAGCCATCCTGCGTGGGGACTGGCGGGAGGCGGACAAGAACAGTCCAACGTTTTGCTGCCTCCTGACACAACTGTGCCAGCTGTGCGGGGAGCTCTTGCGAGATGGAGGCGAGGCGTCACTGCAGAGTGCCCCCTTCGTGGCTCTCTGCGGTTTGCTGCAGGATGTTCAACATGGGCCCACACCGACCGCGGACACGTGGGCGTTGATCATGCGGCATGGTGTTGATGTACTGATGCGGCTTGTGCGTGGGGCCTCTCCAGCGGTGCTGCTGTTTTTTTTGGGGTTGCACCGCTGTTGCCTGCGGTTGGGCGGCAGCCGCGTTCTCGCTGTCTACGAAGATGTCATTCTCGCGGACGTTAGGGAGGCGCTGGACGATGCGCGGTGGACGTTGCGTTCGCACGCCTTACTGACAAGTCGCGTGGCGGTGCAACTGTTTGTGCAAGGCGTCGGCGTCCTCTGTGACGCGGTCAGCGTGGCGAGGGTGGGCGGTGCGTGGCCCACGCAGCAGTACGTTGTCCTCGCCCAGTGGCTGCTGCCTCGTGTGGTGAACGACGAGCTGCCGCTTGACTGGCGGGAACTCGCGGGCGGCGGCGTCAACGGCGTTCACTACACTCTTGTGGTAAACGCCGTGATCCGCCTTGCCACGTGCACCGCCACGTTGGATGCGGGCCTGTTGCTGCCGCTGATTCCGTTGCTCCATCAAACCGAGATGCCGCGGTACAATGCACTGGCCACGGCGGTCGCGGCGGTGCTGCGACAGTTGCCATCGAAGGCCCTCGTGGGGTTGTGCCACCAGGCGCAGGCGATGCAGCGCCAGGGCTGTGGTCTGCCGTGGGCGGCGTGGTGGGGCCTGACACACCGCCTCCTCCTGCCGAGTTTGCACCGCCTTGTGCCGGCGCAGCGTGGCAGCTTCTTGCTTCAGCACGTCGTAAGACTTGTGGCGGAGGCAGGCGCTCCCCCAGATTCGACGGCGACGCTGCAACAACAAACACGGGCGCTGTTGATGCTAGAGGCGGTGTTTCTTGCGACGGCCGAGCCTGTTCTGCGCGGCCCTTTTAACGTCGCCTTCACAGGGAAGCGTGAGGGCAATACCGGAAGGGAACTTATCCTTGCGCTCATTAAAACCTGCTGTGCGGCACGTGCTTTTGTGCCCCCTGTCTCGCCATCGCCCGATGCATTTTATGAGGCGCTGACGTACCGGCAGTCGGCCCATCGCTGCCTTGCGGCCATCCTCACCGCCACGCAGGACCAAGAGCCGGTCTTCACGCGGCTTCTGCTTCACTCCTCTTCGGGCGGTGAGTTGTGGAACCACATTGTGGATACGTCTCGCAAACATTTTTTCCACGTGGAGGCGCAGTTTCCACATATGGCGGAGTCCATGGCGAAGGACTGCAGCGATTGGGAGATGCGTCGATGTGCAGTGCCACTCCAGCGGCCCGCCAGGAGCGGCCTGCAGGTCCTGCGACAACCGTCGGACGGTGAACTGCGCCGCGTGCGTGCCGTGGCCAGCGTGGTTGACCACACACTTGTTACGGCACACCAGCCACGGCTTAACCACGCCCGCGTCACGCATGATGACAGCGAAGATGCAACGCACGACGGAAACAGCGAGGCAAAGGAGACGACGCCTCCCAGAGTGAGGTTGGACGGTGTATGGATTAGCACCTGCTCTGGTGCTCTCCTCCGCGTCATGGACTTTTTATTGTCAAGGTTTGCCGTGAACCCCGCGCAGGGATGGGTCAAGGCGACGATCGCATGCTTGTCCTCCACGACTGTGCATGTCAATGCGAGGTTGGCGCTGGCTCGTCTTGTTCAGTTGCGGGCTTCGCTCTTTGCGCCAGCGGCAAATGCCTTCCGTGACGCGGTGGTGTCGCTGGTATGCGTGGAGGAGGTGGGGGAAGGCGGAGTGCATTATGTGGCGCGTGACTTGCTTGAACTGCTGCTCCACTGGGGCGAGACGGGGGCCATGAAGTTTACTGCTGACGCTGCACATACGCTGATGGAATTTCTTCTTCGCTCCGCACCACACCCCAGTGAGGCGGTGATGCAGCGCAACTTGGACCTCGCCCGGCGACTTTTGTCCCTCGCAAAGCCAATACCTCCTCTGCGTGACGCGGAGCTGCTGCGTGTACTTCGGGGAGAAGTTCTGGCTGCCAGGTTTGGCTTGCAGCTGTGTGGCCTCCTTGTTGAGAGCGGGGTGTTGCTGGCCTCCCTGGCGCCAGCGCCCCCGGTGGAGCTTTACCACGCCTTGATGTCCTACTTTCGGAAGAATAAAACAGTGAACGCAGGTGACGAGAAGGACGTGCTGACGGCTGCGGAGGTGGTTGGAAAAGAGCTCTGCGGGCTGCGGGATCTCGCCGCGACGGCTGCGCTGCTGTGTGGCGCGGTGCAAGATGCGTTGCTCTGCCTCTGGTCCCACAGCCCGGGAGCGGCGCTGCGGGCATTGCGTGCGGTTGCGCAGCACGATGCCGGTGTTCTTGCGGGGATTCCGCTTGCCACACTCCTTGCAAATTTCATGAGCCGCGACGCCGCCGAGCAGGTGATGACGCTTCACCTGCTTCGATGGATCCCTACACGTGCCGTGGAGACGTATGCGAGGCTGCAGGATCTTTTTTCTGCTCACTGCTATGCTCTTCATGGTTTGGTGCGTGCTGAACTGTACCACATGCTTGTGGAACTGCTCCCGCTCCTCGCCGCCCCGGCGCGGGCGAGTCTCGTGGACGTCTTCTTGTCACCAGATGCCATGCGGCTGATGCGTGGGTGCGAGCAGACAAGTATGGCCTTTTTCAGTCTGGTCGTGGGCATGTACGCGGTGACGCCGTCGTCGGTTCTGCTGTCGAGGGTGATGGAGGGGCTGAATGATCCGTCGCCGTCGGTGCGGCGCGTAACGCTTGCGTTCCTTGACGCCCACATGCTCCCTCGCGACTCGTACATGTCTCGCCTGGCGACTCTAAAGGACGTCTTCACCCTGCAGGAGATGCAACGTGAGGCGTGGCTGCAGCATACCGCCGTGCTGATGCTTTTGCTTTGCCCTGCCGCAGAGGACCTCGTCGCCACGCCCGCATCCTCTTCCACCTCAAGGCTGCACCTCCTGAAGGAGGTGCGCAGCGCAGACGGCGTGTCGCATGATTTGTGCCCGTGCGTCTCATGCGGGGGTTTTCTCCGGGGTTTGTGCGACAGCAATGAGCCAATTTCCTCGAGCGGCCGAGCGGAGGGGGAGGAATGGCAAGAGGCTGCGCACGCACGAGCCTCATTGGATTGCTTTGCCGACAACATCGTGGGATGTGCAGTTCCACCGGAGTCCTTCGTCGCCCCACTTCAAGTGCTGTGCCTGCATGACGTGGACACGGCGTGGTGTTGTTTGGAACCCATTAAGGAAGCCATCCCCATTTAAGCGCGAGGAGACCGACAGCAATGGCGTGTCTGCAGGCAAATGACAGCGACAGAAGCGTGGCCGCTCTGTTTTTTTCCCTTGCTGTTTTTCGTGCTCTCCGTTTGCGGAGGCGTGCTGTTGCCTGCGTTCGTCTTCCACAGTTTCCCTGCTGCCGTTGTTGTTGAGGGGGGTTTGCTGGCGCCCTGTGACGCTGGCAGGTGTGGTGGTCCTGCCGTCATGCTTTTTTTTTTTGCTTTGTTGTTGTTTTATATCTCTGGTCCGTCCCCCCGTGCCTCCAGGTGGTTCGTGCGTGGCTGCCTTTAGTGAGAGACGGGGATAAAGTGAGAAGGATAGGAAGGAAGGAACACTACGGACGTGGGGTGGCGTCTTCGCGTGCACCAGGCGTCGTTTGGGGCGGATGAATCTCAACGAGAGGCTGAGCTCCGTGCTGGAGTACGTGCGGGACGGCAGGGACCCATACGTGCGCCTGGTACGCGCGGCCATGAAGGTGGACCGGCGTTCAGTGCCGTTCTACCAGATGGAGGAGGTGCGGGAGGCGACCTTTCAGTCTGACCACGCCTGCGAGATGATCATGAAAGCCCTCGCGCCGAGCCTGGAGGAGCGGGAGACGTCGGTGACGGTGAGTAAGGCCCTCTACATCCTTCGTGTGTTGTTTCTTGAGGGCGCCAACGGTATCCGTGTCCGTGTGGCGCAGCTGCGGGGCAGCCTGCACCGCCTTGCACACATGCAGGAGGCGCGCCAGGACACGCTGGAGGCGGCAAACCGGGACACCGCCCGTGCCCTGCTCCAAGCGGTGGACGGAAACAGCGAGGCGCTCACGTCGCTGCTGGCGCCGCATGTGGGCGGGACGGCGGAGGCGGAAACGACGTCACCACAGTCGTACAAGAGCGAGTTTGAGGCAATGCATGAGAAAGAGCAACGACTGTACCGGCGGCGGTGCGAGGAGGAGAAGCGGCAGTCGGTGCTTACAGTGCGGGAGCGTGTCTACGGCACCTTTGACGGCGGCCTGTCGCCCGACAAGCTTGCCGAGCAGGTCGTAGTGAGTCCGAAGAAGCGGTTTGCGCCGACGGAGCTGGACTCCTTTGTGGCCGCGGCGATGGCCACAGGGAGGGTGCCAGAGGTGTGCGCCGCCCTCGATCAGCAGCTACAGAGCCGCCGACAAACACTGCAGAACAGGTACAAGGTCCTTCTCGTGGTGGAGGCACTCGTCATAGGCGGCGGCAGCGGCGTGAGGGAGGCCCAGGAGTATTATCGGGAGAACAGCGAGGGCCTTCGTCGTCATCTGACCGTGAACAACGCCGAAAACCCCATCAAGTCAGAGGCAGCGCAAGCTACAGCGCGTCGCATTGTACAGGCGTTGCAGGAACCGGCGTTGGTCACCACGGCGCAGGCACCAATGGCACCATCACGGCACGGTGGTGCCCTGAAGCAGCCCACGCCGTCACAGCTTGACGATCTCTTTTCAGATGTCTCGGTGAGGAGACCACCGACGGCGTCCACGTCGCAACAGGTGTCTGCTGCTGCGTTTATTGAGAGATGTTTGCCCCCCCGCAAGGCAATCCCTCCCTGCCGCCGCCACAGTCCTTTGGCTGGCAGCATCAGCAACAGGTGGAGAAGCCGCAGAAACAAGTGGAGCCCATGGCTCCAATTTTAGGAGCGCTCCAATCCTCTGTGGGCTCGGGCCTTGGCGCATCTAGTAGGGAGGTGTGGCAACCACCACCAGGGCAGGGCTCCTCGTTGTGCGTGTCGCAGGACTTTGCTTCGTCGAGGAAGAGTTCAGCCAGCACACCACATCAGTTGCCCCCGCCCCTGCTGGGCATTGTGCAGGGAGCCTCTGCGGTGGAAGGGGAACCTGCGCCTCAGGCAGCCTCGTCTCTTAGGGTTCCCAACATGCTAATTGTCGACGATGCCCCAGGCGAAGCCGACAAGATGCAGCTAATGCAGCAGCTACAGACCCAGATGGAGATGACACGTCAGATGTTGGAGCAGCAACAGTCTGCTCTGCAGGCGCTGCAGGCAGAGTTGCATAAGAAGTGATGGTGTTTTTTTCTGGCACTGCGTGGATCATAGGTATCCATCCGTGTGGGTGTGTGTATGTGCTGGAGGAGGGGAAAGAGGAGCTGGGTTGCCTTACCGCGTATTTTTTTCTTTGTGTACATGTGTGACCCACACGCACACACATACACACATGATCTCTCACTCCCCCTTAATGTGAGTGTCGCTGCGTGTAGCTGTGTGTCTCTCTGGTGGGTGGGTGATTTTGGGCGACGCTTTTGGTTCTCTCGTCTTCTCCGCCTTTGTTTTTGTTTTTCATTTCTTTGTTCGTTCGTTCGTTCGTTTTTTTTTTTTTGATTTTGATTTTGATTTTGCCTCGCGTGTCTACTTTGCAGGTTTCGTCTTGGACAGGAATTATGCCCGTGCTGTACCTCGACGGCTCCGTGCTGTGGCTGGGACTGATGTTTCTCCTCTACTGGAACTTCTTCCGGGTGTACTCCGACTTCTCCGTGACCCTGCTGTGGACGTGCATGATTTACGTGGTAAAACGCGTCATGCGACGCGTGTTTTGCGTCCTTGAGTGGGCGGCGGGTGTCAATCTGCACGGCGCGGGGGAGTTGGCTGCCGCCTCCCTCGACGGCGCGATGGATACCCGCCTGCTGTGGCCGGTGCCCGCCCTTGTCGTGCTGGGCTACTTGGCCGGGACGAAGGCCACTATCACGTGGTGCAGCGCGTTTCTGCTCCTGCTCGCCCTTATGTGTTGGTCGTCGCGGGTGGAGTGGCAGGCCGCTGCGTGGCCGGACCGGCGCTGCTGGCGGTTTCGCGCCTTTACGTTTGTCTCAGGGTGCCTGGCCCTTCTCTGTGCGGCGCTGCAGTGGTCCTACTTTGCCACCTGCCCGCGACCGCGCGACGACGCCAACGAGACAGTGCACTACACGCTCTTGCTCTGGTCGGCGACGCTGTCGATTCAGCTGCTGCAGGCTTTCATCTTCATTGTCCTGCATGTTTTTTACGCAGCGACGGCGTTGGACCGCGACGGGGGCGGCTTTGACCCGATGGAAAATACAGGTCTTACGGTGCGGTGCATGGGGGCCGCCGCTTCGTTTTTGGCGGCCACCGTTTACTGCTCCGACGGGGCCACAACGTTTATGAAGCTGTCTGTGATAACGCACTTTTGCTTTTTGCTGAACGAGGTGCTGGTACTGCGCCGCTCCTGGAGCGTCCTGCTGCCGTTCCAGGAGGTGCATCTCTCAGGGCACTGTGTGATTTGTCTAGACTCCATTAAGCCGTGCGAGCTGGCGCGCAGGCTGCACTGTGGACACGTCTTCCACAGCCGCTGTCTGTATCGCTGGCTGATGCGCTCCGATCAGTGCCCTACGTGCCGCCACTCCACAGATCCCACGCACGACGAGTTACTACGATCCGTTGAGTTCACACTGGAGCGTCGCCGTGGCAGGAGGCAGCGGGCACAAAACATGCAGGACATCGGGGTACAGACGACGTTCGAGCTGGAGTATGCCTTGCGACCCGCAACGTTTCAGGGCTCCTTGCAACCGCTGCTGCGTCCCGCAGCTTTGACGGTGGAGACGAGGCCGCAGGCCGGTGACAGCAGTAGCAGTAGCAGTGCACTGATGACAGAGATGCCTCCGACGGCGCCAGTGATGGTGGGAGGTCAAACATCACCACCAATACCAACACCATCACCGCGACAGGGGGAGCTGTCATCTTTTGAAGCGACGACGGGTGTGCCACGTGCGGGGCCACCTGCAGAAGCAGCGGTATCGGATGAGTTCGCTGACAACCCTATAGTGCATGGCAAGGGAAGGGGTCCAAGGCCAACGCGCAGACGGAGAGCCGTGGAAGAAATGACCAGAACAGCTGCCACAGTGGATGGTGCTGACGCTGAGGCGGATGAAATAGGGGTGGAGACCGCGCCGTTCAAGAAGGTGAAAATGGAGAAAAGGTTACACGCGAGTGAAGGATAAGCATCGCATGGGCCCTTCTTCTTCTTTCTCTCTTCACAGTTCTATGCCTATTTTCACTTTCCTTACATGCTATTCAGAAGAGAACGCCTCATGGAGAATATATATATATATATATATCAAACCATTGTTTTCCTCTTTACGTCAAAGAGGCACATATGACGTTCCATGCAGCTGTTACTGAGGCTGCATAGGCTGGCTTTGAGGAGTAAAGGATGCTGTCCTAACCCCTTCTGACGTGTATGCATCCTTTGGCGGGCCGTCTACCCTGTTGCAGCAGCTGCGGCTGCCATTTTTTTTTTTTTGCGTCCTTTTCTACTTTTTTTATTTTCTTCGTCGTTTTCTGTGCGTACGCGCCATACGTGCGTGTGGCACCGGGGCCTTAGGGTTTCTGTGGTAGTTGGCAGCCGTATCAAATGTTGAGGCACTCAAAACAGGAGCAGCAGATGTGCCGCAAGATGCCTGGGACGTCCTTTGGCTACGTCTGCGACCAGCATGATGGTCGCTGCGTGATCTGCGACCTGCAGTTTGATGAAGCACTCCCGTCGATGCGGGAGGTGCACGTCTGCGACGACTGCGGCTTTGGCAGAGAGGGTGAGGAGCGCTGTGTCATGTGCAACGCAGGGAAGACGACGGAGGTGGCGTACTACTGCCAGTACTGCGTCGCGTTGGAGAAGGACCGCGACGGCTGTCCGCGGGTTCTAAATCAGAGCCGACACCAACGCATGGCGACATTACGCACGCGGTGACCGCCACACGGGTGCGTTGAAGCTCCGGTTTACCTTCACTTACTCTTTCTTTCTATGCCAAGTGCGTGCGTGTGTGTCTTGTGTGCTTCTCCTGCACCTTTGAGAGTGACAGGGATGTGCGGCCGATGCCTCTGCGGGGGATACCGTTGTGCCTCTGCTGTGTGTGTGCACCTCCGCTCCTCTTCTTTTCTTCTGCGCTTTTTTGTTTTGCCTCACACACACGCAAGCCAAGGTTGTTTATCATGCGTCGATGGCAGTGTCATGTTGTGGTTGATGCGTGCGCCGCCTCCTCCCGCGCCATCGCGGTAACACGTGAGTTACTCGGGCTAGAGCAGCTGCAGGATGTGCCGACGTCCACCAGCCGGAGGCCCACCGGCATGCACCGTGGCCCCGGAAAGCGGCAGACGTCGGAGAAGGAGGCGGAGCTCTACCGCTTCATCAAGCGTTGGGACCTGCAGATGCGGGAGGGGTGGGACGAGCTAGAGGCCTTCAAGGGGCTGCCAAAGCCGAAGCGGCAGTTTGGCAATGAGGCGGCGGAGGTCATTTGGCCCTACGCACTGCTGTTGGAGCGGGTTGTGAAGGTGCACCCCTTCACCAAGTCCATCTACGTCTACTACAGCCAGCGGCAAGCCACGCCGCAGGGGAAGGCGGCGGTGGAGACGGCAAAGCGGTTTGCGCGGGAGTTTCTCATCCCCATCACCTTCCACAACTCGCAGGTGTACGTTGAGACGGAGATGCTTCTGGAGTACAACGAGACGCCGTGGGTGGTGGTGCACTCCCTCGACGGCGGCCAGCGCATTCTGCCGGTCCACCCCTCCGAGGGGACACCTGCCGACGTCGCCGTCGCCCAGCTGCTAAGCGACGTGGTGAAGGCATGCGAGGGGCTCGCTGCCGCGGTGGCGAACCCAAAGGAAGTGACGCGCATGCTGAATGAGCGACCGCTGCAAAATCAGTACGTTCGCATCAACTACCAGTGGTTTGGCGACACGCCGGACGAGCGCTGCAGCCATTTAGTGAAGTGGGACTTTGACCCCGCGGAGGTGGAGCCCATAATGCGGCAGCGCACTCGCCACGTGCTGAATTGGCTAAACTACGACGGCAACTTGCCGAATCACAACTCCGTTCGTATCAACGTCTTCCGCGAGAAGTCGCGTTTACGCAGCCCGCGGACGACGAGTGGACCCAAGACGTTCTTCAACTCCGCTGGTTCCCGCGCCAACGCCCGTTCATCGCGCTTTGGCGGCCAGACGGCTGTAGGAAAGTGAGTGCACCCGCGGTGGGCGCTGGGAGTGGTGGGAGACGGAAGTTAGGAGGAGGAGGCGTGCGTGCGAGAGTGAGGAAGTGTGTGTGTGTGGGGTGGGGTGGGGGGAGGGTGTTGCTCGTTTCACGCTCGCGGAGGGTGCAGCCGCAGTGGTGATGGTGCTCTTCCGTTTTTTTTTTTTTGTGCCTTCTACTCCCAACTTTCCCCTTCAGTGCTGCGGGGTTGGCGTTGCAGCTCCCCGGCGCCAGGCGATGCTGCGTGGCGTAACTCCTCGCATCTCCTGCTACCACCGTCCGCGAGGGAATGAGCTCACCTCCTCATTTTTTTTTTCTTTGGCTTGTTTTTGTTTCTCCTTCTGCCGTCAGGCTCCGCTTCCTCCCTTTTTGTTGCATGTGTGCGCCCAGAAACACCCGGACGAACCGAAGGAACTAGAAGAGCGAGTGACTACAACAACAACACCAACTAGACGGAACGTAATGGAGACATTTGGCACTTCACCACCCGACGCGGATTTGGATATCGCGTCGCGGGACTACGCCCAGCGAGTGCAGGGACTGCACAATGACGCGTACCGCCAGGCTATTGGGGAAATCGCCGGGGAAATGTACGGTGTGGTGTACACGCAGGTGTACCGCGACGCGCTCGAGGGGTACCGAAGAGATTGGGACAGCTCTACGGCGTAAATTTCGGGTCGACGCGCATGCTGCCACGGCGGATCTCTCCTTCTTTGTTCCCTTGGATTCCGCTGATTTGCTTCTCTTTCTCTTTCTCCTCCTCCTTTTCCTTTTCCTTTTTCTTTTCCTTCCGTATGTGTGCGACGAGGTTGGATCTTCACCATGCATCCGGTTTTTGCCTCTTTTTTGTGTGTTTTTTTAAGCCTCCGCCCTCAAGGGTTTATCTCCCTCGGCTTGTGTTTTGCTCTGTGGGGCGGGCGGACGGGCGTGTGTGCGGCATGGCGCAGCTGGAGGTGTCCGCCACTGACTACCTCCTGCACGAGGGCACGGTGTGCTACAATTTTCGGGTCCGCTTTGGCCGTGACACGGCGTGGGTGGTGAGTAGGTCCTACGACGACTTCGCGGAGCTGCAAGTTGTGCTTGAGAAGCACTACGGCGCTGTCAACCTGCCACACCTGACCAGGCCGGTGCGGCCGTGGGCGCGCAACACTGCCGCGACGGCGGCGGCGCGGCTTCCCAAGCTGGGAGCGTACCTTAACGAGGCCCTTGTGGCCGCGACGTTTTGGTCCCCCCCACTCTACAACCTGCAGCTGCCGGACCCCGACGGCGGGACGGAGCCCGTGCATCTCAACAAGTTTCTATGCATCTTTCTAGAGGTGCCGGAGCACACCGCAAAAATTGTATCGCAATGCCCGACGCCGCCGCCGCTTGGCGCGACGACTGCTGCCCACGCATCGAGCACCCACTTGAAAGCTCTTCCAGAGGCCGTGCTGGCAACCTCACCACCACCATCACCATCACCACCACCACCAACAACAACAACGGCAACTGGAGGGGGAAGAAAAGGTGAGGTTGGGATGTTTGCCACTCTTGCCTCTTCGCTACCGCTGCTTGCTGGCGGAACGAGGGCTCTCTCCACACCCCGTCCAGTAGCTGGTGGGGACGCCGTATCACACGAGTCGACGTTAACAACGTCGGAGCCGCTGACTTTGCCCGCTAGTTCTGCGGGGACGCTGGAGGGGATGACGCATTCGTCCATGAGGAATGTCCATCGCGACGACTCCAGGGAGTTGGTCTTGGCCGCTGAGGCCTCCACCATCACGTCTAAGATAACGGTCACCGTGAAGGACTTTAGCATTCTTGAGCGGGATCACATTGAGTACTTTCTTCATGTATCTATCTTCGGCTACCACTGGGTTGTCACGAAGCGCTATAGGCAGTTTCACGAGCTGCACGACAACCTTGTGCAAATGTACGGGGCAAGCGCTGTCCCAGTGCTTACCCACGGCAGAGTGCCTGCGTGGCGTAAGCTCACTGTGGAGACGGGGGAGGCGCGAAGGAAGGGTCTTAATCAGTTCCTGCAAAGCGTCGTGGCGAACGTGGACGCCTGGGAGCCACGGGGCCTGTTGACGAACTTTGAACTTTCACTGTCGACGGTGCGAGGAGAGCGGAACAGTTTTACGGTATACATCAATCAGATCCTCTTTGAGTTTCTTGACTTTGCCACGCAAATTGACTCGATGAGCGGGGATGCGGCTGCGAGAGTCGTAGTGGAGCACCGGGCGATGCTCCCGGAGTCGGTCAAGGTTGCGTATGACAAGTGCTCCCTGCAGAAGAAGCATCTACGGATGCGTGAGTGCATCACCAGCAACGCGCAGCGCCTGCACCGTCTCCGCGACGACCAACTGCAGCAGCTGCTGGATCGTATGACACTGCTGCAGGACGACCGCGATATAATGCACATGTTCAAGCAGCTGCTTCTTACAGGTGAGGTGGGGGACGGTACCCAATCCTCTTTTGCGGACGCCATTGCCGGCGACTCCACGGTGGAGACCAAAAAGGAGGAAAATGTGGAGACTGTGGACGCCTGTAGCGCCGTTGTGGGACTAACAACACTGCAGCTGGCAAAGATAACAGGACAGCTGTTTTTTAACGACAGCAAGATAGAGGCCATCCGGCTTTTTGCCGGTGTGCTGGTAGATGTCGATGACCTTCAAGACGTGCTTGACACCTTGTGGTTTGGGTGGGAGGAGGCTCGCGTGGAGGTGGAGCAGGCTTTATCGAGGCGCTGACGCCAATGCGTTGGGTTTATTTATCTTGTTTTCTTTGTGTTGTTTTGTCTCTGCCTCGTGTCTCTCTGTGACCACCTGCGCCGAGGGGTCTCGTTGCTGTATCGGCTACAATACCCCCACCCCCCCTGCCTTGACATAGGCCGGGCTTTTGAATTGCAACCGTCTTTGGTTTCTGCCTCTTTGTCGCGCCTCTGCATCAGACGCGGCGCACAATGACATCCGTGGCAAACGACGAGGCGGCTGGCCAGTGGATGCGGCACGCCATGGCGCGTCTTCACATTAGTAACCCGGCTTGTGGCGGTCAGGGAGAGGTGCAGTACGCCGACCTGCTGGACTTCATGCAGAATGCCCCGCCTCCTCCGGTTTCCTTGCACGCCCTGTGGGAGCAGTGTGTGTGGAGGCTGCAAGATGAACCGGTGGCGTTGTACTGTCTGCGTTGCTTGGCCAACAGCTTGTGTGGCGGCAGCTACGATGACATCTCCTTTCTCCTTGACGCACGGACGTATACGCCTCTTGCACGCCTGCCAATAGATGATAGCAGGGCAGAGGCGGAGAATGGACTGCAGCGCCTCGTTGTACGCATTGCCGCTCTTCGACTTGTACCGAGCACCACCGACGTCATTCAGCTAGGTTGGAGGGTGACTTTAAGCGGGTTAGAAGCCACCCTTGGCACCACCTCCTCGCTGAGACCGCAGTATTGCACCCGCACGCATGTCGTCGTACAACTTGCTTCTGGAAGGCACCTTTCTGCGTGGGCATACGGTGGTGTGGGGCTGCGACTGCGTGTGGGGGCCGTGTTGTGCACTTTGTTGTACCCGACCCGCACGGAGGACCAGGAGCTGGCCTTTGTTATTCACAATGTGGCTGAACTCACTGCCACGGACGGCGGCGCAGGGTCCTTGGTGTGGGGGTCACACACCATCCAGGGCGATGGCCCCGCCGCGTGTTTTTCCGTGCCTGCCCAGTACTCCTTTGAGCAACTCGTTGAGGCATTCGCACCAGAGGTGGCGGGGCAGACGATGTGCAAGTCACTGCTCTTGCTTGTGGTGGTGCACACCATGTACCGGGCCGTGCGATGCCGCACGCGGCGACCGCTGCACCTGTTGCTTTTGGGCGCCTCACGCTCCGGCAAGTCCGCCCTGCTGCGTGTGTTTTTGCGGCTGCTTGGTTCGCATGCCACACTGGTGGGGGCCCACGTTGTTCATGGACATCAGCGGTCTGTGGCCATGTCGCATGCCATCACGGCGACGTACCCGCATGTGCGGCAGCAGCTGCTTTTGGGTGGTGCCGCCTTAACGTTTGACGCTCTTGTCATTGATGAAGTGTCCAGCCGCGGCTGTGCGCATCTGGTGGAGGGGTTAATCACGGGGCTGTGTCCCATCATCGCTGGCGGTGGCGTGTCGGCGACAGCTATTCGGAGTCACGTGATACCTACGCAGGTGCAGGTGACAGCCGCCGCGAACGACGACCTGCCGGCAGCTGCGGCTCTCATCCCGCAGTTTGCTCTGGTAGCTCGCACGACGGCCCAACTCTCCCTCCGTCATGCCGCCTCCATAGGCGAAGGGGTGATTGCTGCCTCCGTCGCCGGCTCGCAGGCGTCGTCGAGGACTCCGTCCCGCTCCACATCGTTTGTGGAGCCAAGCCCACGGCAACTGGGCTCCGGCGTGTCTCATGCTGGTCCACTTTGCGAGGATGTCTTGCGGGCTGTTGTGGAGGGGGCGCCAGCAGCGTCCACGCTGGAGCGAAGCATTCCCGCTGAGGCCTTTGCAAATTTTTACATGCAATGCCTGCGTGAGGACTGGCATGGATGTAACATCGCCCTCTCGGCGACGGTGGCGAGTGGTGTCAACGGCGCCACCGTATCGCTACCGTCGTTGTTGGCGGTGCTGTGGGAGCTGAACCTGGCGCGGCTGCTGCTCGAGCGGTGTGGCTGCCGCAGCAGGGAGGAGACCCCTGGTGGCTGGAGCGAGCAGCTTGCGGAGGAGGTGTGGCGGTGCTACAAGCACCACCTCTGGGCCGTGGATACGGCCGCCGGGGCCACTGCGGGGGGGCGGACGACAAGGCAGGTGCCTCTCCACGGTGCCGAGTTCCCCGCCCCGAGAGGTGGCTCACGACGTAAGCTCGGGAAGAAGGCTGTGTGCGTGGCGCTATTGCGGATGATGGCGCGCGAGCAGCGTGAGCGTGGAGTCGAAGCGGTGCCTGAGGCGAGCGCCAGGGACTTCTTTCAGCAGCTTGGCGGGGAGGCGGGGACGGGGCAGTCGTTTTCCGATGTGCTCCAGCACCTGCTGGATGCCGCGTTGATCATTCAGAGGTTGAACGCCTACGCCGTTGTCGCTGATGTGTGACAGATACCATTTGTTTACCTGCGTACCTGCCTTTTGTGTGGGCGCGTTTGTGTGTTTCCCTTTCTTTTCTGCTTCGCTTGCCGTTATGATTTGCTTTTCAAATTCCTTCAGATGGGGGGTGGGACATGTGTTTGTGTCGGTGACAACGCCGCTTATTTGCTCCGCGTTCCTCGCTGCATGTGTGTGTGCGTGTGCGTGTGTTTGCAGTCCCTCCCGCTGCCCATCAAAATAGGAATATGCCTCTGTCCTGCCGCGTAGTTTTTAGTTTTTGTTTTTGTTATTGTTTTTCCCTTCTCTCTTGCCCCCGCGTTGTTATTTATTTTTGCCCCTTCGTGGCCGTGCTGCGCAGGATATGATCACTCGGGAACTGCTGGACAAAAATGAGCCTGCGCAGCCGCTCCTACGTCATAGCGCCGCGTCTTTGTCGCTGCAGACCATCGCCTCTGCGGACGCGAACGAGAAGCCGATAGAGAGTGTACTGGGTGTAACGCTGACCTTCAAGGACATTACCTGCACGTTGTGCGAGAAACAGGGGGTAAAGCGGGAGATTCTGCGCGGCATTTCTGGCCACGTGCGCAGCGGCGAGTTACTTGCCATTTTGGGGCCCTCTGGCGCTGGCAAGTCAACCCTGCTCGACATCCTCGCCCAGCGTCAGGGGAAGGGGACGGTGGGGGGAAAAGTTTTGGTCAATGGCAGCCCCATCAATCCTGGCTCTTTTCGCCGCATCAGCGGGTACGTGCAGCAGGAGGACCTGCTGCGGAGTTATCTGACAGTGCGGGAGAGCATCTTCTTTGCAGCGCAGCTGCGCACGCCACCCTCCCTCACCAAGGCGGAGCTGCATGCCCGCACCGAGCGCATCATGCGTGTTCTTGGCATCGACAGCGTGCAGGACGTACATGTTGGCTCGGAGGTGGTGCGGGGGATTAGCGGAGGTGAGCGGAAGCGGTGCGCCATCGCGATGGAATTGGTGGCGTCCCCGGACTTGATTTTACTTGACGAGCCTACCACGGGCCTGGACGCCTTCACCGCGCTGCACCTGCTGACAACCCTCAAGGACCTGGCGCTTGCGGGCGTCGCTATCATCTTCTCCATCCACCAGCCGCGCAGCAGCGCGTTTCGGCTCTTCGACCAAATCCTGCTGCTGAACGACCGCGGCGAGGAGGCGTACTTTGGCCGCGCGCTAGGTGCCATACCATTTCTTGCCAGCCTTGGTATCATGCCGTCGCTGCCAGACAACCCGGCGGACTTCCTACTCGACACCGTCGCAGTGCCGCCGGAGGTGGACTTGCTGGACGGTGGTGAGTGGGTGCAGCGGTACCACGTCGTCTGCGCGTACGACGGCCCCGACGTCGCGATGGCCTTTCGAGACAAGTTGTTGACGGGGGTGGAACAGGAGATCGACGCCGTCAATGACGCCTTCAGAGACGCAGAGACACAGCGCTTGCCACCCGCCGAGCTCTCGCCGTACTTCCGCGGCGTGTGGACGCAGATCCGCGTGGTGGCCCTGCGGGCGGTGATCAACAAATTGCGTGACCCCATTAGCACCTTTGCGACCATCGTGGCCGCAACCTTCTTTGCGCTGTTGATTGGCTCCGTCTACTTTCGTCTGGGGCTTGATCAGTCGTCGGTGCGAAACCGCATGGGGATGCTGTTCTTCGTTGTGATGAACACCACCTTCTCTAGCCTGGGCGGCCTCGGCCTGCTCATGGCGGAGCGGGCCATTTTTATCCGGGAGCACAGCAATGGGATGTACCGCGCCGTGGCGTACTTCATTGGGAAGATTTTGCAGGATGTGCCCATCAGCGTGCTGGCGAACTTTATGTTTGACGCGATTGTTTACTTCATGGTTGGGCTACAGCCCCGTGCTGACAAATTTTTCCTGTTCTACCTTGTCTGTACCCTCACCATGCTGAACAGCTACGCCCTCTGCCTTTTTGTGTCGAATCTCTCACGGGATATGCAGGTGGCGAACATCGTGGCGCCGCTCGTGTTTGTGCTGTACCTACTCCCCTCCGGCGGTGTGCTGATGAGCGTCGACAACCTCCCTATCATCTGGCGCTGGATCAAGTACGTCTCATTTGTCCGCTACAGCCTTGAGGCGCTGGTGATTAACGAGTTTGACGGCCTGATGTTTACCTGCGCCGCGAATGAGACGTACTGCGTGCGGGACGGAACGACGTACGCCGAGTTACAGGGATTTCACGTGGCGGATTTTTGGTGGACGGTCGCGGCTTCTGCAGGAAGCGTGGTAGTTTATCTGGTGTTGGCCTACGCCGCCCTGGTGCTGCTGCGGACACGCAACGTCGCCTAGCGGTAAGGCGGGAAGCCGATGGAAAACAAAAAGAAAAGACAAAACAAAACTGAAAAAAAGTTATATATGTAAAGGAGGGGAAAAGACGCAGCAAAGAGAACAGAATAGCAGCATTCACCGAGGCGGGGCGTGAGTTCCTTTTCTCCGCTTGCGGAGGCCCACAGGAGCCCGTCATTTCCTCCTCCCCTCCCCCCCCTTTTTTTTTGACGCTGTTATCATTAGTTTGTTTGGCGGCTCGTCTTTATCGTCTGATGGCGGGGGTCTCTTGCCTTCGTATCTCACGTTGTGTTCAGCTTCCCTGCTGCCGCGGCTCTCTCGACGCCATGGTGTGTGGGTGTGAACAAGATCGTGTTGAAGCGGGCAGTGAAGGTAGGATGTTTTTCTCTTTTTTTTTGGTGTATGTGGGTGTGTGCGTGTTTGCTATTCGTGTTTAGGCTGCTTCGTGCCGTCTCCTCACTACTACAACTGCCGTTGCCACTACAACAACTACTGACGCCCTTAACGCGGTGGAGACGTTTCCGACGGTTGTAAGGCACTGCCGGTAATCACCTTGCTTATTCGCAAACCAACCAAAAAAAAAACGAAAAAAAACATGCCTGAGTATCGCGGCGTGTGTGCGTGTGATGCATCTCTTCCTGCGTGGGAGGTTGCTGGGGAACCACTCTTTGAGGCGAACTGCCCATCTTCTTTGCTTTGACGGCCTTCCCTTCCTTGTAGAAGAAGCGGGCGTCCTGGCCTCAGATGTGCGTCTCAGTGCAATACCGGGTGTGTCTGTCCGGCAGCATCTGCCCTTTTCTCTTGTGACGCCATCAGCGGTAACGTGTGGAAACCACCCGCACACCCACATGTGTGTATTTGTTGTTGTTTTCCTCTTTTCTGTGTCTCAATTGTAGCGCTGAAGAAGCGGCGTGGGGAGTAAAATAAGGAGAAGTTAAAACAAAACAAGGTACCTGTGAGAGTCATTCCTGTCGGATGTCGTCTTTCAAAGAAACCCGGGAACAGCGACGCCGGAAGCTTGGGATTGACTGCGTCAGCCGTATCTTGTGGCGGCACTGGGAGCCCAACAACGAGTACGTGAAAAAGATACGGATTATGAATGCTGAATCCTGGCCGCAAACGATCAAATACGAGCAGCCGCTGCGGCGGAACGTGTTTCTGCTGGAGTTTCCGGAGCCGGTGACTCTCAGCAGTGGCATGAGCTTCGACCTTGAAGTGCGCTTCTGCCCAACGGAGCTGGTTGAGCTGCAGGATGTGGTGAAGGTGACGGTGGTGGGGCGAGGCAGCTTCACGGTGCGCCTGGAGTGCCAGACGCCGTACGCGCGGCTGCTGGTGCCGTCGCAGCACGACTTTGCCTTCGTGGCGGTGGGTGACACGGCAGCACACACCGTGACGATGAAGAACTCCGGCACCGTCGCTGTCGGGTTTGAGTGGTGCGTCATGGCGCCGTTTGCGATTACACCCGACCACGGCGTGCTCGACGAGGGGGAGTCGGTGACGCTCTCGCTCTTGTTTGCTCCGGTGGAGGCCTGCGCGTTGGTGGCGCAGGCAGTCTGCAAGATGACCGACAACAACGAGGTTTTGGCGACCATTAAGCTGTCGGGGGTGGGCAAGTACCCCTTCATCCGGCTCGCTGAGCCGCGCCCGGCGTGCGATGGCAACACGCTGCTGCTCGACTTTGGCCGTCTGCTGACCGCCACGTCTCAAGGCAAAGAATTTAGCCTTGAGAACCCTGCCATGGTGGACGCCGCCTTCGCGTTGGAGGCGGCTGACAACGCCGTCTCTTGCCCCTTCACGATCACGCCAAGCAGCGGCGTCATCCGGCGGGGCACGACTCAAAAGTTCAAAGTTGTCTTTGCCCCCGTCGTGTCGGGTATGACGAGCGTGAACGCCTACCGCCTGGCGACGCTCACAGGGAACGCTGTTTTGGTGCAGTTGCGGGGCGTCGCTCTCGCCCCCGCCGTGCGCACCTCGACGAACATCATCGACTTTGGGGACGTGCAGCTCGGGAAGGAGGCGTGTGCGACGCCCGCAGGCGCCGGAGATCGTGGCGGTGCCCATCAACGTTCCTTTTTAATCAAAAATGCATCGGAGGTGGCCCAGGAGTTTTGCTTCATGCCCTCCGCCCCGGGCGTGGTGTTTGCGGTGGAGCCGGTCTCGGGACAGCTGCCGGCGAAGGGCTCGGTGCGGGTGAAAGTGGTATTTAACCCCACGCACCCTATCAATTACCTGCGCCGGCTGCTCATTCTCGTCCAGCACTCAGAGAGCCTCTTGTACGTCGACGTCTTTGGTAGTGCCTACGACGGGTCCATACGCCCCATGCCGATGAAGCCGCGGGATGTAGAGGCCTTCTTCCTGCGGCATGAGTACGGCCTTGCGGGGGCCCAGCCGAAGGATATTGCCGCCATCACGGAGGCGCTGCGCACAGGCCGCTCCTACGAGGACCTCGCCCACGGAGATCTCATCAGCACCCCGCCGTCCGCGGGGTTGGGGCAGCGACCGTCATCATCACCCTCCACTCAACCGGGGTCACTCAAGGGCGTCACGCGGCGACGCAAAGGGCGGTTAAACCTCTCGTACTTACTGACATCTTTTTCCGCGGGTGCGCCTTTTTGCCTTGATACAGACACTCTGGTGTTTGCACACGATGGCGATGGGTCGCAACAGGTCTTGGTGTACAATAGAACCAATGCACCGGCAACGGCGTACTGGTGTGTGCCGCCAAGCGGCTGCGCCTTTTCGGTCCTGCCGTTGCAGGAGGACATCCCTCCCCAGTCCTCCCGCGCCTTCACCGTGACGATGAATCTTTCTGCTTACGTACTCGTTGCGGATCAGTTTCTTGAGTGTTACGTGAATTTCAGGCAAATGCGTTCCTTTCGCCTCGTGGAGGACGGGGCTTTTACCCCACCTCACTTCTTCACTCTGAGATGCCAGCGGGAGTTGGCGATCAATGCCTCTTACGCAGGGACCTTCGCACCGGTGGTACACGCCAGTCAGTCCATCACGTTTCCTGCGTGTCGCTCGGGCAGCGTTGTACACGCCCTTCTCGACCTGGAAAACCGAGGCGAGGTGGCGGTTATGTTTACAGTCGGTATCCACATCGATTCGTTGGAGCCAAAGGGCAAAGTGAAGGAGGCTGTGCCCAACCTGAAACTTGTTCTCAGTGATCCGACGCATGGAATAATGGCGCCACACCAGCGCCTCCCTGTCCTGCTGACGTTCTTGCCGACCTTAGCCGCACGGGTTCGCGGCGGGGCAACTATCACCCTCAACGACAGTCCGCGGGACACGATTGAGGTCGCGTTCTGTGGTGAGAGCTTCTCGCCGGAGCTGGTCATCGAGGATAGCTCTATGATTGTCTTGCGCCCCACGTGTGTCACAGGGGAGACACGGCGGCAACTACGCATATCCAATCCAACCTGCATCTCAGTTACCTTTGAGGTTCAACCTTCACGGGAGCTTGCTTGTGTGCTGAAAATAAACCCCACCTTTGGCGTACTTGAGGCTGGGCAGCAGATGGAATTGACGCTTCTCTTCACTCCGGATGAGGCGACCATATACGAAGGTTGCATCAATTTTTGCATTTCTAATGGTGACACTGGGAGTACAACCTTCCTGCGCGGTGACGGCGATGTGTTGGAGGAGGATCAGAAGCATCTCATCTCATGCCCGTGCACGGCTGAGGGTCACTACGCCGTCGTGGAGGTGGAGCCGGTAAGTATGGAGCATGAAGGCCCCGCTCTGCAGAAGAAGACCTTTGTGTGGACCATCTACAACAGCAGCCTCTGTGAGGTGTGCTACGAGGTGCGCTGGCTCGCGGTGACGGAGGCGACGCGGTGCCAGGAACACATAGAACCTTCCGTACAGTTGAGTCATAACAAGAGTGGAACACTGGCGGCACGCTCCCACACCGTCGTACTTGTGACGCTGCGACCCCAGACAGGGTACTCGGAGTACATCTTATATACGTTAGTGGGCGGAAGCGGGGTTCCGCTGAGTACGATACCGCAACCCAAAGGTCTGGAAGAGGTGCGACAGCACCCACACTGTGTGGTCCAGCTAAGAGGCACGCGACCGGCCGTCCAGATCACCGACGTTCGTTCCTTGGAACAGCACAGGTCGCAGTTGTGGTGTCAGCTGGCCATCAACGACGTCAATGCGGTTCTTGCGGCACCTGTGCAGGCGAACGACCTGGAGAACGACTCCTTCGCCTTTTTGCAGTACATTCGCGGGCTTGAGCCGATCTTTATGGACATGGGTGTGGGCAGCGTCCACGATGCCAGCAAGGAGATTCTGCTCTGTTTTGAAAACGCGGGAAATTTCCCCGCCTCCTTTCGCTTTTGGGACCCACTCGAACACGAGGGAGGCAACGAGACATGGTTCCTCGACGATGAGGAGATGGAGGATGTGCAACAAATCCTCTGCAACCGTCTCTTGGAAATCTCGCCTCGGACGGGTACCATTGCGGTGGGGGCGCAGCAGGTGATCACCATCACTTACCACCACGCGGTTGTGGGCGGACACTCTCTTCCGGTGCTGCTCCGCCTTGAAGACGGCAAGAAGGCACTCTTGGTGTTGGAAGGCCGCACAGTCGCCCCTGACACCGGCGTACTGGCCTTTCATCGACTGTCTGCGTACACGCTTCACCCAGTGGCCCTGGGCGAATTGGAGCCCCCACTGCAAACCACGACGATTGAAAACGTAGGCTCCAAGCCAGTAACGTACATTGTGCAGGAGGATTTGACGCAACGGGTGACGCAGATGAATTGCGGATTTCCGGTGTTTCAGTGCCTGAACCCAACCGGCATGATCCCTGCTGGAGGCTCGGCGCAGCTCCATTGGTACTTCCGCCCACTAGAGGCGCGAAGATACCGCATAGATGTCGCGCTGCGCACGGTGGACGGCGAGGGCTACGAAATGGAGTTTGTGGGTCTCGGCTACCACCCCAAAAAGGACCCACTGGAGACGACACGCGGAATGATAAACGACGCCTTCCTGCCCATCCCTGTTGCGCCTGCGCTTCGGCTTCCCGTTGAGAAGTGCCCCCTCGCCCTGTCAATGGACGTGATGCGTATTGGGGCCGCTCCATGTTTTTCGCTGCATCGCCGCTTTTGCTACCTTGAAAACAGGCACCCCCGCCACACATACTCATTTCTGTGGGGCACATACCTGGAACCGGGGAGCTCTACCGTCACGGTGACGCCCTCTGGCGGGGTGCTCGGCCCGGGGGGACGCGTACGCTGCCTCCTAACCTTGCACTGCGGCAGTCTGAGCCAAGTTTTGGAGACATCCATCTTTTGTCACGTTCGCAATGAAACACTCATCACCGCTCCCGGGAAAAAACCACGGGGAGTGGCAACTGCCGCGATGGAGGACAAACTCGCAGACAGCGAAGTGGGGGAGGAAGACGCTTATGACGACCCGCTACTCGATGCCAAAACACCACGCGGTAAGGCCTTTGAGCGCTCGACCTGCACTAAGCCACGGCTACTGGGGTATGGTGGAAAACGCATGTCAGCAACAGTCCCTCCACCCGAGTATCAAAGTATGCGTATGATCGCTGCTGCTGCTGCTGCTGCTGCCGCTGCTGCTGAGACTTACACGACAAACTCCTTCCCTGCTTCTTCGACACCGACGATGATGACCCCTCGGGGCACTGCGTCGCGTAGACCGCTAGGTCTTGAGGATGGGCCTGTGCTGGAGCACTCACTTGAAGTCTTAGTCCAGGCACGGATCATCTCAATGGAGGAATACGAGCGACTTTATGGGAGACGTGCCTTGCAGCAGTTGCACTTCCCCACACTTTGCCAGCACTACGTGGATTCCACCGTTCTTTCTCAGTTTCGCAAAGAACGCGTGGATAAAATTGGCGCGTACTCTTCTGACGAGGCCGCCGTGGCGTTGCGGGTGCTGGATGGGCTGCTGCGCGCCATCATTGCACGGCCGCTGGTTCGTGCCAGCTTCACGGAGCCTGTCAGGGAGCGTATTCCCTACTACAGCGAGATGGTGTGTGCGGAGGTCGGATCTGTTCTCCGCACTGGTGGTGCTTCGGCCTTCTTCACCAATCCGTGTGAGTCAACCACCGATGTCGCCCTTCCCCCGCGCTTCCGCTCCGCTGACACGAAGGTGGGGAAGCAAGCGGGCGGTTCACTCCCCACAGCCCCTGCAATGCCGCTGAGGGAGACGACAGCGAGCAATGGCGTCGTGAGGAACATTCTGGAGGAGGTGCTTGCCGATGTCACGCTTCAGGCGGTTGATGCCGTGACGGAGAAGCTGCATCTCCTCTGTAGAGAGGCTCTCGGAAGGGTGGATAGCAGCTAAGCTTGCCGTTGTGGTATCCGGTTTAGGTACGATTCGAGATGTAAATACCAAAACCAATTGCTCTGCAATCTCTCACACACGCACACACAGACAGAGGGTGATGCACAGGGCAACATTTTTTTTTTTTTCCTCTTTACTTGTCGCTGCAGGGCTTTTGACTGGTTTCCTCTCATATGTACGGGACTTGACGCGTAAACTCGTTTCTCCTGCCCCCCCTTTTTTTTTTGTGCTCTGGCGGCTTGTGCCCTTCAGTTCAGGGAAAACAGCATGGTCTTTCAGAAGAAGAAGGCGGAGGTGACGGTCCGCACCTCGCAGTTCAAGGTGAACAAGCTGCTCAACCGCAAGCAGTTCATCGTGGAGGTGAACCACCCCGGCTGGTGCGGCACCGTCCCCGCCAAGCTCATCCGTAGCCGTCTCGCATCGCTCTACAAGGTCGCTGACGAGAACCAGATCTCTGTCTTTGGTTTCAAGACGAAGTTTGGTGGGGGCAAGACGACCGGCTTTGGCCTCATCTACGACGACCTCGCCGCTCTGAAGCGCATTGAGCCCAACTACCGCAAGGCCCGCCTTGGCATGGGCAAGAAGAAGCTGCCGGCTCGCAAGTCTGTGAAGGAGCGTCGCAACCGTAACAAGAAGATTCGCGGCAAGGCGAAGGGCAAAATGCAGACCAAGAAGAAGTAGAGCGGCGCCAGGCCCTCTTGAGCGGGGCCGATTGTGTTGAATCCC